ATAATAGAAAGATTGGTTGCTTGGAGGAAATGTACTTATAGCATTGCTATTTTATATATTTATCGTTGTAATAATGTGTTAATCCACTGCCGGATGAAGGCCTCCGAACAGCAACTCGGTTATAAAGCTTCGTATGACTTCCTCACCATACTAGTGAGTGCGACTTGGTGAAGGCCAGTGCGGGTTCAGGTATCACTCGCCACTGATGTTAGGGGTGGCCAGGTATCAAACTCAGGTCACCAGGTTAAAAACTAACGCATCGACTACTATGCCACCACTCTGCTTTATACATTTAGTTAATGATATAATATTTAAATATTACTAGAAATATTTCGAGGACAATTATTTAACGTGGTGCAAACAGTTGACCGTTTTTTCCTACGTTTAAAAATGCGCCGCTCGAAATGGCAAATGGATTTTGGCGACATTTTGACAACTGCAATAGTGCAATGATGATTATTATGATGATGGTGTACATCTGAGCATACTCTGTCCCCTGTGTTAAAAAAAATAGTCACGGAGCAATGAAAATGCTCATATTGGCTGTAAGTTTAATTGCGAAATTGCTCTGGAATTAGTTTAATGTGGCAATTGAAATGAAATTAAAATAAAAAGGCAATCACTGAGAGAGTAATAGACAGCCTTAATATTCACATAACACAGCCTCGCTTGTGATGCAAGTCAGAGCGATAACCGAAACCCAAGCTCACAGTCGTTGCACTCATTTAAATCTGAGTCGTTCGGTGTTGCAAGTAACTTTGTTCCTTAGACGATCAAGCTCGTAGCTCATATATACGCAACCACAGTGCTTCAGATGAGTTAATTTTGCCTTCAGAATATTAATTAATATATGGATATGAATTGAGCAACTATAACATCGATATCTCAGAATCAGAATATTTAGAGTGAAAGAATCCGATGAGCTATGAAGGTTGTGAATTCAGCCGCTGGCTTCTGAGCACAACCAGTGAATCTCACTGGTGTCCCCGGAGATCGCTCGTAGTGCACAGAGCCCATAGGCTCGCACGGGGACCTATAGGCTCGCAGAATGACAGACTCATGGAGACACCCATAGACTAACAAAGACACTTTTCTGATGGATTTGTAATGGTTTTAATGCTGATTTAAAGCTTTCGTGACTGCATTAATTCATATTCTTAGCTCTTTCGGTAAAGTCACGTTGAAGGGAAACAATAAAATAATAAAATATATATAAAACAATAGAAATTCTCACGACGTTTCGACCATAACACAAACGGTCGTCATCAGGTGTGTCGGTTTGCATTAATTTATTTATTTTTAACGTGAGAATTTTTTATTGTTTTATATATATTTTATTGTTTCCCTTCAACGTGACTTTACCGAAAGAGCTAAAAATATAGGTTTTAATGCTATTTGAATAGAATACAGTTCAGGGGGTGATATGCAACATGTGGGAGTCAAGCTGCTGTGGTTAATGCACTTGTGGCGAACCGGTTCTGCCCTCCCTCTCCTTGACCAACCCACACGGACCAGCGTGATGAAGTATGGTCAAACTAATCCTGTGACCAGCACAATATATGGGGACCATCCAACAAGTGTATTTGAAAAGAGCTACTATTTGTTATTGTTTGTTATGAAATGCAACGTTACCTTGAAGTCGAGAGTCATTTATATAAGTAGTATGCAAGTTATATGCTGACTTAAAATTGTGCAGTCCTGTATTTCAACTAGAGCCTTACATTTCAATTGCGATGTTTCTTAGAATGACTGCACAAAAAACCTTGGTTTTATAATAATAGTAAAAAAAATCATCTCAAAGACAACAGCTGAAAAAAAAACCCAATAAGTTTCCCAACGATAGTCTTTAACAAACGGATTTACTCCAAAATAAAGTGAAATGCATCTCCTCATGAGCACTTGGGGGTCACGTGACCGCTCCTCTAACCACGTGCCGCGTCCAGTTTTTTCCCCCCCTGTCGTGCGAAACTCGGGCTGCCCAGCAAGATTGCTTTATGTGCTGCTGCACACTCGGTCGGAATTTGTCATACACGATTAATATTTTAATATTTTACGTTGCTTGAAATGCCCGGTACACCGTAGCTTTTCTGCTCGAGCGCTGCACGGGCAATGCATGCGTTTTGAAAAACTGTGCGCTATCTGTGCTGTCCAGGAGGCAAACTCCACTCGCGAGAGCAAAGTTCGTCGGCGCGTGTGGCTTCTCTTCATTGACACCGTGTCATTGTAGCGATGGCACCTTCTTTATGCTGTAATTGGTGTTTTTGTCGTTGCCTATATGCTCCCCGTGTGTCAATTGACGCCCTGGTGGACATGCTTGCAAACGAGATTATCCATCTCAAGGGAATTTCCAGGTGAAATATTAAAATTGAATAAGATGAAAAAAAATTATGACGTGACCGTCGTGATGCAGAGCTCCTCTCACGTATTGCTGTTGAACCGAAATTGGCTGGAGACTTATTGTTGCGGTGTCCTAAGAATCTTGATGTTTGTGTGCGCGCACGCATGTCAGTGTGTCTGTATATGGGGGTTGTAGTGGTTATCACTGCTATGAACCGAGTTCGATTCCCGCTCATGGCCAACACCAGTCACGATTATGTGAACCAGTTCTGGGCCTCCCCTAAGTCGACTCAACATAACATGAGTACCTGGTGCGGTGTGTAGACACCGCCACTGGGGAGACAAAGACGGCCGGTGCGTGGTGCTGGCCACCCACCCTGTGCGCTGTGCGCTGTGCCGGCCTTCATAGGTGCTCGCTAACACCACTTGCCCCAACAGTCCATTCAGACTATAGGGGCGACCTTTGTTTTTGGGGGGTTTCTATAAGTCGTCTAAAGGCATGAGGGGTCAAGGGCCTTCCATTGGCATGCTCCCTGCCTTTGGAGCCTCTATTACAAGTCATTTTAGGGAAGTTGGCACAATCAACTGTTTGACTTTCAAATTTGTATTTGGAGTTCACCCATTGTTTAGATGAACAAATTATTGCTGATGCTGTGTTGGCAGTGGTGCACACGCACAATAACAAGCAAAACTCAACACGTTCATCAATAACGCTGCCTTAAGATGTCAAATATATAGATGTGACAATGTTTTGGGTAATTGCGCTTCTTCACATGACAATTTTCCCCTATGAAAAAGGGACCATACCAAAAACGGCGCCTATTATATATCTTTTTTATTTTAAGGTAGTGTTATTGATGAATTTGAGGGGGGGGGTTATTGGTTGGTCCATGTATCGTAAAGTACCCTGGGATGCTCTGCATGAAGAGTGCTCTGTGGACATCAAACCTTATTGTGCTGTCTTGGTATGTGTGTGTGTAGGGGTGGCGCAGTGGTTTGTGCAACACACACTTTCCTGAGTTCAGTCACCCGAGCGTGGGTGACATCACTGGCAAAATGTTATCTGAAGTTGTCCCAGGCTTGCCCTCGGTTAACTTGGCCTCAAGTGATTCGTTATTGCCCTGTGTAAAAACATCGCTGCTGAACGCACGACCTTCCTCTGTGAGTTGAGCCTTCTGCCACAGTGCCACCTGACTGGAAACGGACAGATTCATATCTATATGTTCATGAGGATTTATTATTATGCACTGTTATGAAGTACTCCATGCAATGGCGGAGCCAGGATTTTCAGGTAGGGGGGGGGGGAACCGCTCCAGCAATGACAAATGATAGAGGAGTTGTTAGTAAGTAAGGACTTGTCCCTTGATTTTTATTTGACGCGTGTGTGGCGATGGTGCAGCCATCGATCGAGGCTCGAATTCGAACCGTGTGTGATCGGCATTGCGCTCGCTGAAGGTGAATGCCTTCAGGGAAGTCGTGTACTGTATACGCAACTGCGCACAAATCTGTGAGTCACTTGTAACTGCTTTGCCGTTACTTATTGCCAATTATGGACTCAGACTTTTGTCCCTGGCACATAATAATATGCTACACTGGCAGTGGGGGTCGCAAAATGCCGATTTATTACTAATAAACCGCAATGATCTGATCGAAATTAGGGATTTCGATAGCATCATTGGGGGGGGCACGTGCCACCCCCCCTCCCCCCCCGCCAGTGACCCCATGCAATAAAATCAAGAACCATCAAATTCTCACTATAGATTTGCTTGCTTAAACTATTGCGACTGGATAACATTTGTCTCAAAGGCCCATAGGCTAATGGGCTGAAACTATTTTTTTCTACAGAGAGATGAATAGAATTCTGACTTGTAAATCCAAGCGTTTTCATAGAATGAGAATGTCCCTTATTTTTAAGCTTGCGTGATCATTGTTGGTATTGTGATGCTCACCTCTGGAGGCGAGTGTTGGTGGTTCACTCAGATTTGTGAATCGCCCAAACCCGCTGGGCCGCGTGCTTGGCCAGGAGACGGTGGTGGCACCAAGTGGGTTCACGATCCCATTCGTGTGGACCATTGAATGTTACTCCCTCATGTGAATCGTGGGCTCTCTTCGGGTTCTGCAGTGTCGTCCATTGTAAAGTAAATCTGATCTGAGAATATATGCAGCAGCGTTGAGGGCCTAAATAACAGTGTTTTTATATGTGACCACCAATGCATCCAGGTTGTCATTCGGGGACTGCATGGCTGTAATACGTCACGGTCGGCAGACGCCAGTGCAGCAAAATCCATTGTTCTACCGTACGGCTATCGCCCTCGCCACCCAGCACCGACTGGTGTGGTGAAGTATGGTCACACAATCCCTGGGACCAACACTGGCATGTCCTAAATTCATCAATTGATTGAGAATGGCTGTACAGGTTTGGCGATGTGTATTTTGTCGTGTAAATTGTCATGTGTTGTGTGCGTATGCTTTTCGCGTGCTGGTATGTGTTGATGTGCTATGAAGAAGGTGCCATTGCCTAAGGCCACAGTGTTATTGACGGACGCGGTACGGTTTTTTTTGTTTGCCTAGTTATTTCTGCTTGTGCACCACCACTGCTAAACGCAGCAGCAGCAGCAGCAAGCCCCATCACCAAATGATGTGTGTGTGTGTGTTGTGTGTAGGCGTGGTGGACCTGTCCCGCAGGAGCCCCATCACCTGCTGGGTGTGCAGCATGTTGTGCTGCTTCGGAGGGGGGATGCTGGCGGCCGCGATGCTCGGGGAGCCCATCCTAGACCCCTTTGAGAGCAATATCAACGTCTTCCTCGCCTCCGTCATCTGGTCAGGCCCCGTCCGCCTCTCTACTCCCAACCCTTACCCACCCCCGCCGTCTTATAGCCACCCAAGGGTGAACGTTGCCTCTGTTTCTCGCTGACCTGCCTAATCTAGGGGCGGTGTGACATGGCCTAGCAGCAGTGTGTTCGCCAGTGGTGGTGATAATCTGGCAGGCCACCCTGGTTATTGTTGCGGGTGTATAATTGTAAAATACGGGCCATCTGCTTGATAGTGAGTGTTAATGATCTACGGACAAAATACGAAATGAGAAGGCTATTTAAGTGCTGGCGTCGTGATACAAATAACATCAAAATACCTGTAAGATACTCTGGATTACGATTACATAAAGCACTTGAACTGCTGCAAATTCTGTGAAACAGATCCTTTCTTCTTGATAGCTTTGTGCTATGTGAATGTCGCAAATACCAAATGTATTCAATCATTATCATTACGAGTATTATAGCAGGGTTTACCAAACACAAATACGCGCGTGTGCAAATATCAGCACTGGTCGGATAAAAGCGGTCGGAGTGGAGTGGTGTTGGCCACCCACCGCTTAATGTACCATGCCTGGTGTTCATGAACAGCATTTACCCCGACAGCCTGTTTAAGTCTGTACGGGAGATCTTTGTCTTTGTAACTGTGTGTCGCGGAGAGCATTGATTCAAATTAATAAAGAGATCTTGTGTATGTGTGTCCCCCATGTGTGTCCCACATGACGTAGATAACGCGAATTCAAATTAAGATAGAGGTTCTTGTGCGCATATGTGTGTGCGTGTGTCTGAGGAGCGGTATTGTAGAAGTCAGAACGCGGCCCTATGAAGCAAGTGAGCTGAGTACGATTCCCACTCCCAGCCAACGTTGTTGACGAATATCTGAACCAGTCCGGGGTCTCCTCTAGGTTGATTCATATTTAATTGAGTACCTGGTACAGTGTGTGAACATCAACACTGGGTAGACAAAGGGGGCTGGGCATGGTGCTGGCCACCCACTTGGGAGTCTTTCTCTTTGTCCCACTTGACTTAAAGAGCCAGATTGATATTGATATAGTTCTTGTGTGTGTCTCACGTGCTGATTTAAATTAAGATAGAGATCTCTGGTGAGTGTGCATGTGTGTGTGTTCCACGCTTGGGTTCATAGAGGCAGTGTAAATGTAGACCTGGGTGTAATAAATATAGAAGTGATTGTGGGCTTCGAAGCTGGAGATGATTTTGCTATGATGTAGGATGGAACCTTGTGGGACACCACGGCATAGAACAAGGAATCTCTGAGAGCAAGATGGTCTTTGTATGAAAACGTAGGAGCAGCAGTTGGAGAAGTAAGAGCCGACCCAGGAGAGGAGGGTGCTGACGGGAGGGTATGGAGGGAATCTCGGTCTAAGCAGAGAGGATTTGGGGGAGGCCTTTTACCACACGTATAAGAGCAGTCTCGGTGAATTGTTCTTGCTGGACACCAGATTGTACTGGAGATTGTGGAGACTCTGGAGGGGAGGTGCTTTGAGAGGTGGGGAGAAGATGACCATTTTTAGGACATTTCTAAGGCAGGAGAGGTTTAGACAGAGCTTTGCAGGGGACTAGTTTAGATTTATTTTCAGGATCGGATTCACAAGTTGAGGGATCTGGCGGGAATGTATGTATGTAGAACTTTTTTTGTACTGTACGTAGCCAACCGTGCTAACCGGAGGTGCGGGAAATTGAGGCGTTGATGAAGTTGGCGTGGGTAGACTGTGAGGGATGCGTTTGGTGGATGGAATTTGCCTTTTTTCACGTTAAAGATGATTGTAGTGATGTCGGTCATGGTGACAGGGCTGGCCGAGGGATATCTAGGGTGGGTGGTGGGGGAGAGACAGAAGGAGAGGCAACAGGAGGAGCAGAGGCAGACACCAGAATGTCACGTGTCATGCAGTATTATCACCATTTTCAGTGATATCGAACGGAAATTCACGCACGGCAACTGACGGGGATTGAGGATGGAACCGGTTTTAGGAGCTGCGGGAGCTGAGTTTACAGTATTATGATCTAGAGCTGCAATTTTATACTTTCAAGATAACCCGTTAATCTGGAAGGGGGGGGAGCGGTAGGGGAGTGGGGCGGCGGGGGGGGGGGGCGGGGGGCAGTGAAACTCTTTTTGAACATGGGGCTCAAATTTGGAATTTTCCGATCTCCATGCAGATTGCTGGAGAACGTTTTGCCACGTTAGCGAGAGAGCGATGCCTCTCGTACACGACATTGGTGACACGTTCGCTTACGACAGCGGGCTTGGTACCATGATCGCGCGACATGCTGATGCTGTTCAAACCACCCTGCGGGCCTGCAATTTTCTGTCGATTACAGCTTAAATTACCGTAATGAAAAAGCACAGAATTCAGTTCGCGTGGAATTTACGTTAATATATTTCCTAGGATTTGACTACCGATCAATTGATTGCGAAACATAAGCGGTTCTTAATTTTAATAATCGGATCAATAGTTTCCAGCATTACTGAAAGAAACACATTGTGTGTTTTAAATTGCCACTGACACCCCCCCCCACTTCCTTCGGCCCTTGGTCTTTCCCCCTTCTCCCTCCCCATATAAATCCTCACGTCCCTACGCATGGTCCGCCACGCTGAATTCGAGTCGCCGCTCGCGTAGTTTGAGTTCCCCTACAACGGCGATCGGCGTATTGTACTGGGCTCGCGTTGTGTCGCAATAGACCACAGGAAAAAAAAATGCAAACTGACGTAGTTGCTGCAAAATAAAAAAAAAATTGGTTTAACACATGGGCTTTTTCTCGACCAGTATTAACCTTAATAGAGTTTTTTTTTATGTTGGGTTCGTTTGCATCAATGTTAATGTGTCGTCAAACTCGCCACACACCCGACACAGCCAATTAGTAAATTTGTCACGTAAACAAAACATGCCGATTCGTCACTAGTTCAGCACACCGGTGTGTTGGAGAGTAAACCCACAGCATTTACAATTCGAGTACGAATTTTCGCCGGTAATTACAACCAGCCTCATCAGGCGACAGCCAGAATTTGCTTCTTGTAGGCTGAGCCACCACACACACACACACATACAATTATGTAGAGCATCCCGATCACTGGACATGCATTGTAAATGCCCTGCAGCACGCACGTGCACATGTACGGCCCTTCGCCACCTCCTCCACTGGATGAAGCTCTCTCCGCCACACCACATGGGTCGTGGGTGTTATTTGACCATACTTCACCATGATGGTTAATAAGGGTTGGCGAAAATGGGGAGCGCGTATCTGACGAGATCGGGCGCATTCCGGGTGATTTGGTCATAAGCTTGCGTAATTAACTTCTGCACTTTTGGGAGTTCACACAATGTAATTATAAGAGTAGCAGCCTGTATTTATAACTGCACAACATTCGAGAATGGATGACGTATCCGAGTGCAATTTAATTTGGGGGAATGCCAGTCTAAAATTAAGAAACTTAAATATATATTTATATTTAATTTACCAGGTAAGGCCCACTGAGCTATGTAGCTGTTTTTCAGAACCGACCTGACCACAAATGATAGCTCAACGAAGTGGCTTATCATGTAGAAATGTATAACAGCCAAATACTCTAAACGCCTGTTTTTATGTGGATGAAAAAACTGGAGGACTCTGAGAAAAGTCCACACGACCACGGGGAGAGAGACATGCAAACTCCAAATATACAGCAGCCGTCAAGGTTGGGACCGAACCCACGACCTCCTGTATACCAGGCGAGGTAGTTAACATCTCGCCACTGTGACGTCCAAATTACATGGTACATTTACATTTTAAAACTGTCAATACCACCCATCTTCAACCACACTCGTCTGTTGACCTTTCTGCCAGCCATTGTGGCTATTCAAAGCGTGTGCGTGCGTGTGTGCCTTGTCTCTATTGTGGGACCGTTTCTTGAAAAAGTCACGTTTCTGCCGGACACTGCTTTTGCTTGTAAGCAAGCAGCGTGTACGTGTCCTCATTTGCAAACGTGACCCAGGTCACTCGTGCAAATGAGACTCGCCCTGGATCTCCTTCAGAACTCACAGAGTCAAACAAAATAGTTTGAAACGGTTTTGTCGACACTTTGGCCGAGAATGGATGTAAGACAATTGGCAACTAGATCAGGTCTGGTTGAGTTAATTTTTTTAATGAATGCTAAAGGGAAGCCTGTGACCAAACCACCCGTGGAACACGTCCCGGTCTCATCAGATCTCGAAAGCTAAGCAGCGTTGAGCCTGAATAAGTGTTTGCATGGCTGACTGCCATGCATGACAGATGTTATAGGCTGCTGCAGTGCTACATGATGGGCAACAGAGGGCAGTGTGGAAAAAAAACCTTGGTTACCATATCATTAAATGAATTTGATGAAAAAATGACATGCAATTTGCATATGCTTTGAATCAATACATTTCATTCCACACAGAAGGCTAAATAAAAATTTCAACCTTGGCTCCTTATTAATTTATTACAAAGCAGAATTAGTTATTAAGGGTAATAATTAATTGATTATAAATAAATAAACTATTCATAATTGCTTAATCATCTCGGAATTACTGCAAACACTTTTCCACGTGCGTCTATGCTCTCCGCCTTTTAACAACCGGGCTGGCCACCGTGGTGAAGTATAGTCCAAAAACCGCCACAGCCCGACACGGCATGCCGGGGGGGAGGGAATTCCTGCATCGACAAACTGGGGGCTCTTAAGTAATTTACGTGCGAGATTGGCTGCCGTGCTCTTCGCACACGTGCACTTCAATTCAGTCGTCACTTGGAGGGAATATAACGTTGAGCACTCTCCCACGTGGCGTTCCCCCATGAGCGCAGCGTGTGAATGCCCGTGTAAATTGCCTGGACCGCCGCGTGTATACGGTAAAAACGCCATTGTGGATTTAAATGGGTTCCCAGAGCTGGCTGGGAGAGAGAGGGGGGGGGGGCATTTCGTTTGGGAATGAGGCCAAGAGAAGGCCGTGCATGCCACTTTCCCAGAGCAGATACGGGGTGGACGGGCGGGGGGGGGCAGAGGCTGGGTAGTGTGGGGAGTGGCGCTCGCTATCTGCGTTTTTTAACCCAGAAGTTCAAACTCATTTTCTCCATTTAAAAAACACTTAAGCAACAGGGTTCCGCGTGACATGCCGGACATCCCCTAAGGCCCCCCCCCCCACCCAGCAGTTGCCCCGGGAACGGCTGGAAGGGGGCGTCGATTTAGGAGCCCCGTGGGGGCAAGCCTGCTTGCCTTTGTGCGCGATAACGACCGCGGGTGGCCGGTGGGAAGGTGCGCAATAGATCGGTCTCATCGCCAAAAACCCGGCCCGTGAGAAAATCCCAGCGTGCGTTTATTGGTACAGTATCATTGACGTGTGTGTGTGTGGAGAGCGATGGGGTCGTGATTTGTGCACTGCCCATCCGATACCAGTGTGTATAATTATAGAGGGTGAAGTGGAGGTGCAGCGGTTCCTGCACTGCACGAGCAACCCATTTGGCCGGCAACCTCTAAACCCCTCCTGTGCCTCACCCCGGTCGAATTGACCTGAAAACGAGCATCTGGTGAAGTGCGTGAAATATCAGCAGCGCAGAGACAAAGACGTCCTTGGCATGGCGTTGGCCACATCACCTGTCGTGCGCAATGCTGACCTTAATAGGTACTTGCGAACAGAACCTGCCTCCAGCAGCCTGTCATGCTAAGTTGAGACATTTGTCATTGTGGACACTCGCACAAAGACAAAGGTCCCCCGTATAGCCTTAACAGACTGTTGGGGCAAGTGCTGTTAGCGAGCACCTATGAAGGCCAGGACAGCACATGGAAGGATGGGTGGCCAGCACCACGTCCGCCCGCATTTGTCTCCCCATTGGAAACATTTACACACCGCACCAGGTACTCATTTGAGGCTGATTCGACCGAGGGGAGGCCCAGGACCGTTACAGATAATCGTCACTGGTGTTGGCCGTGAGCGGGAATTGAATCCGGGTCCCTGAATTCGTAGCGCAGCGCGATAACCGCTACACTACGCACACACGTGCGCATGGGTCTTCCTTTCTTTTGCTCATTACCAGATCAGCGCATGGTGCGATACAAAAGTTTATCCGACCGATTGCCCGATTGACGTTTATCACCCTTCCTTGATCTTGGTGCCATCTCATCATCAATGCCTTTCACCACCCGCCCTCCCCCACTACGCCCTTCCCTCTTGGGTACACTCAGAACACCACTTTTTAAATTTAGCCGAAAGATTGTGTCAGGACTTTGAATGCGCAAAAAATAGCGGCGCGGGAGCGCGGGGGACAGCTTTGCCGCGCAGTGTCGTGTGTCCGAGGAATCCAAGAGCTCATCGCGGCCTGCGCCGTAGAGGGATTGGTGCCGTCGACGGCATGCGCAGCCCTCCCCCGCTCGCCCGACTCTGTGCTCGGTTAATTTTAAGCAGGCGCCGAAAATGTATTACGTAACACGGTCATTGTTGAACGCGCGTGCGCGCGGTGGTTACGCAAACCACCGTACATTTTCTTTTCTTACACTGGGGTTAAATGCAAAGTTTGTGGCGTTACTAAATGCTTTAAAATACATCATCTCTGCCCCATCCATTTCGTCTGTCCATCCATCCTTAACAGGGGTTGGGAGGGGGGGGGGTGCACTATAACTTTCGTAAATATAATCCAATATTAACCAATCCGCAGAATAAAGGACTTGAAACTTGGCTAAATTGATCAAAGGGTTATTGCCGGACTCGCGTATTTCCAAATATGCAAACACAGTTTCTCTGATGACCTCCCGTCGGCTTATCCTCTTCTATTCCCTCATCTGATTTTAGCGGTGAGAGCGTGGTTGTGTCCTTCGCACTTGTCCGTCACTGTGCTGCGTCTTTTAACCGAGACGGTTGCCATCCTGTCCAGTGTTTGACGCTTGACGTCCACTCCCATCGTGGTCTTCCTCCTGCCGTGGAACCTTCCAGTGTTCCCTTTCGTCACCACCCTTTGCAGCCTGTCGCCATTCATCCTGTAGCCTTGTCTGAAATATTGCAGTTTCATGTACCTGCCATGACTTCGGGGGTTTCCTTCTGCACCACTCGTGAAATACCTCGCCAGACAAACACGTTTTGAAAAGCATTCTGTAACCCGTGCACGATTTACACAGCTAGTTTGTTTTATCTTAAGGAACTCCGTTGATGTGTCTGGCATGTGTTCATCGCCACATAGCTGAAATATGTTTACCACTGGATGGAATCTTCCATACTCCCATTGACGTGAGCCAAGATTCAGTTTGCAAACTTGAACTTCTAGTTAGACTGGATTTCATAAATTAATATTTTTTTCTTCACTTAATTGGGGCGAGCCTAGCTCCAAGGACTTAAATATATATACCACATGACTGCAGGGCTACTTTGTGAGCAGCAGAGGGACAGTGGCGCAACATCCATTATTGTGCAGAACTATGCTCCAGTGTCTATACACCCCCGCGTTCACTTGCCGGACGCGGAGTGAAACAGTTCCTGAAAAGCTCCAAATGCAACGAAAAGTGAAACGTCAGGCAATGTTCCGAACAGCCGGATCACATATGCTATACAGCGCAACCGCAAACACCTATTCAGCGATGTATGTATGTTGAACTTCTTTCGCATCGTACGTAGCCACCCATGCTAATCGGAAGGTGCGGGGGAAGGACAACAATGTAGAGAAATACGTTTTCAATCTCGATGTTACACACGTACTCACTCTCCGCCCGGTCCTGGTGCAGGTACATGGTCTTCTACTTCCCCAAGGACCTCTACTACCGCCTGTGCTCGCTGCTGCCCGTTAAGCTGTTTGTGGTGGCCAGCAAGGAGGTGACGCGCGTGCGCAAGATTGCCGCCGGCGTGGCGCACGCCCACCACGTCTACAAGCGCGGCTACGTCGTCATGGTCGCCGTCGGCATCGCCAAGGGTGGGTGGCGGTGCCCGCGCGTGTCTATTTGCGATCGTTTCCGTCCGAGCCGGTTGCCACAGAGGCCCCCGCGTTACTTGTGGCCGGTCGTCGGTGCTCGCGTAAATGTACCACGGGGGGGAGGTGAGAGGGATGATGGGCCTGTGACTGCGATTTGAACGGCCAAACCTTGTGATTTATGAGTTTGAGTTTTCTCAATACTTTGCCACCTGCCTGGATATTTTCATTATCAGCAGCGAGTGGCAAGGCGGGATTGGCTTGGCAAAGAATTAAATGGGGCCCCATATCCACCTTTCCTCCCCCTGACCCCCCCCCGAGGCTCTCGGTTCCATGAGCTCTCACGCAGTTGCACCGTCTGCACACCCCATAGCGACACCACTGATGATAGTGATAGTTATTTTATCCCGATTGTGCTATCAGTGTCGTGTCATGCGATGAATCCCATTTGGATCTCTCGCACAACCCTTCGTGTTAGAGAATGGCCCACGGAAGCAGATGTCAGAGGGCTACCTTCAGAACTACCTCTCATGATCTGCACAGTAGAGGGCAGCACTTTTCCACCTGCCCTTCTGCATAGTGTCATGTTTGTCGCACGACAGCAAGAACGATATTTTACATTCTCGGCGCATGATAGTCTGTGCGGTCAAGGATGGCCGGGATGAGACCAACAACTTGCTTCACTTGAGAATCGTGTTTAATCACAGGTGGTCATCTTGATTTGAAACTCAGGGTCTCAGTGGTGCCCTGACCTCTGGGCCGCCGGGCTTCCGCCAGAGGGTTAACTTTTCATCCTATGACCTCGCGGTGGTGAGATGTTAATCTCCCTCGCCTGGTTTGCTGGAGGTTTTGGGTTCTATCGAGACTGACGCCTGTATATTTGGAGTTTGCATGTTCTCCCCATGGTCACGTAGATTTGTCTCCGGGTCCTCCGGTTTTTCTCTCCACGTTTAGGAACATGCGTCTAGGGCATTTGTGGCCAGATCACTTCTGAAAAAAAGAGCGATAGAGCTCAGTGGGCCTTCCCTGGTGAATTTAAGATAGTTTTGTTAAGATTACGATAGCACAATCAGGTTAACTTAGGGGTAAAGAATAACAAAAACAACTAAAAATGGTGAAGAATCTTCCTGTTCCAATGAGCATGCGGCGTTCGCCACCACGAATCTGCGCAAGAGTGAACAGAGACCAGTGATGTTGCACATTGTGCACATTCACAGTGCGTGTAAGGCGACTTGATTTAGCGATGGGTCCAAACTTTCACCTGACAGCACCGCCCCCCACCCTCCATCGCTTTTTCTCCGGCCGCTCGCTACCACTCCCTGCCTCCCGGGCCGCTCGGTGGTGCGCGTTGATGCTTGTTTGCAGGTGCCGGGAGCGGACTTTTAGCGAACCTGGAACAGCTGCTGCGCGGAGTCTGGAAACCCAACACCAATGAGCTGCTCAACATGTCCTTGTGAGCGCCGTGTTCATGCGCACACTCGCGCGCACACACACGCTGCACGCACACACTCAAACGGACGCGCACGTACTCTGGGCACACACACACACACACACGTGCATGCATGTACATACACTAGCGAATGCACATGCGTGTGCGCAAAAATCGCACACAAGCATGACCACATACACCCGTACACGCGCGCGCACACACATACGCTTGGACATGCGCACACATACCATGGCTAACCAAACAAAGACAAATATCTACCTGTAGGCTTAACAAAACCATTGGGACAAGTTATGTTAGCGAGCACCTATGAAGGCCAACACACGCACTCATGCACATGCACGTATGCATGCCCAGCACTTACTAAAATAGACCAAATATTCCAATGCATGATCGTACTAAAAAGTGTATTGAGACAGTGAGTATATGAAGAGATTACTTTATATTTTATTATATAGACCAGAAAACTTGAGCTCTAGCGATAGACAGCGAGCGTCTTACCGTGCGAACGCCAAACAGAGGTCAGAGCTGACACCGCTGAGATCCCGGGTTCACATGCAGGCAACCGACTGTGATAAACCAGGCAATCGAGTGTAATGACTCACCACAATGACTGCACAACAAAAAAAAGCTATTGCCCTTAAATTTGGTTCGGAACTTTTGTGGTTAAATTCCAGCTCTGAGAGTTAAAAATATTGGTTGTGACTGTCGTGCAATGAACGTTGACTCTCATATGGCAGGACGGGCAGGAGAGTGCTGTCCCCTACTGTGTGGACCAGAGGGCACTTGTGGGGATCTCAGAGGTGGTGGCTCTGTGGTGGCATTCTCCAAGACAAACGGGGGTGGACTGCCCTGCGAGAGATCTGAATGGACATTTCGTCTCATGCCATGATAATTACTGCACATTTGGGATAAAATGGGGGGAATTATATACGTCAAAAAAAGTATGCGACTGAGATTTCTGGCGATTTGAGTGGCAGGGGGCTGCATGGATCGTCTGTGTTGTGTAAATAACGACTGTGGCTGCCCCCCCCCCCCCCTCCCGACCTCGTAGTCCCACTAAGGCGACGCTGCTGGGAGCCGTTCTCTTCACAGTAGAGGCCGCCGGATGGCTGCCACTCTCTGAAGAGTTCCTCATCCTGATCGTCACCATCTTCCTCGTCACCACAAAGGTCAGGGAGGCCGCCGGTGACGTTTTATGTTCAGGGTCGGTTGTGTACGGCTGAGTTCCGAGGTCATTAAAGGCCAAGTGTGGCCCCATACTTAATGGTGTTTAACCCCGGCGATTGGCCATGAGTTATTGATAAAGTCTTATGAATCGCTGTGAGGTCTGCTGCTGCTGCTATAGCGCTTTAGTGACACCACTCCGTCGATGTTGTGTTGAAATTTACATGAATGACATCACTTGGGTCCAGAAATGGGGCGCCTGAATGTGAGTGTAAATCTCTTTGCCGTTGTAATGGCGATGGTTATTGTACATATCCAAGTGGGATGTGGGGGCGCGTCTTGGTTTTCGTGCATTGCGCCACCTTACCATATATGACGGAGGTAAAATTCCTGGTCATTACAATAATTGGAAAATTGTACGTGAATCCCTCCTGGTCCTCCCCTCCGCGTAAAATAAATGCCTGGCCCTGTGCGTGTGAAGGGGCGTGATGTTGGCCATGCCGCCGTTTGCAAGCGTAGGCTTGCGGGGTTAGGCCGCGACCATTTTCTATCTCACAACTGACTGCAGGCTGGTCTACTTCATTGTTAGACAGGCAGCTGTCTTCAAGTCCTCGTCAGGGATGAAGAGTTGAAGGTGCCCACAAATAGTACGTGATGAAAGCTCGAGAGAAGAAATGCTCAAAACGTTGCCCAACCCCGAAAAGGGCACTTGGATTACGAACAGCTGCGAAAAGCTACGCGTTAAGCACACCGCTTACCCATCGTTGCTCGTGGCCTGCTCCATAGAACAGCTGATTCGTACAAGAGCGCTCGCTGTGACAGACCAGTAGACTAATAAGACAAAGCCCCTCTTTGTTTCCTCTCGTCTTGCCCGTGCGTGCGCTTGTGGCATGCGACAGGTGACGCTCACGGCCATGCACTCGCACGCCTCGCCCTTCGACCCCATCGAGACGCCGCTGTGCGGCTTCCTCTTCGGCGCGGCGCCACCCGACTCGGATGGCCACGGCCACGGGCAGTCGTCGTCGGGCCCAGCCGCGCCGGCCCAGCAGGGCAAGGCAGAGCCGACGGAGCCCGCGCTGCGCAAGCGCAAGAGCAAGAAGGCGGAGTGAGGTGGTGCCGTGCGCCAGCTCGCGGAGAAACGTTGCCGCCGCCGCCGCCGTCGTCGTTTTTTGTTGTTGAGCGACGAGGTCGGTCGTTCAGGTAGCGCGGTTCAAACCCCATCCCCCCCCTCGTCCCTCCTGCGTAAACAACTCCAGCGTCAGTGATAAGTAGGGTTGCCGCGATGTTGCGATGCTACGGTACGTTGCACGATATAGAATCCACGATAGTCGTACCGTCAATTGGGAAAAATGTTGCCCAATCGTGATGATCGTGGCTCACTTAATTTTTTTCTGAAAGTTTACATTTTCTGACAATATATGTGAAATAACGATGATCAAAAGTTCACGGTCATAATAACAGTTCGAAAAGCACTAATTGCCTGCTAAGTTAGCGCTTTGTGAAATGCTTCCCACAGTAATTGACGGCATGGCAGTTATGAGCGTTGCGCAGTAGATTGTAGAGTTCCAACGATTAGAGGAGATGTATGGCAGTAATATGTTGAGTGAACTACTGTTTAGTAATTATTAATGGGCATTTATTCGTATTTGAATGCATTCGCCCAATTAATGGAAATTGATACACAGAAATAATTGTGAAGTTGAATATCGTATCAAATCGTGCAGAATTATATCGCGGCAACCCTATGAAAAGAAACCTTGTCTGTTTGCGTGAATGATTAATGTTCCTTTGTTTTTCTTAAGATCACCACTGCAGCACAGGCAGCAAAGGAGTTATGTGCAGCGTTTGTTTTTCATTCACCTGTTGTGCCATGTGAACAGGGCTACGTTTGCAAGTAACGATCCGTCGATTAAAATATTCTCTTGCACTCAACGGCACGCGGTCGGGCACACACACGGAACCATGCGTGTTAAAATTGGTAATTCATGGGGCCGATGAAATTATAGTCAAGTGATGCCAACAAGACAAAACAAATGCGACACATTGTCCAACAAAAATTGCCGACAAAAAGGATCGACTGCTATGTTGAATCGCGACATGGAATCGCGACAATTAATTATTCAGAGGCCACGGAGTATTATGAGTTGTTACCTGCCTATTCGTTATGTTGTCTCCCAGCACCACTGCAGGTGCATGCGGCAGCAGTAAGGCAGCACCGTCTGCCTCTGTGGCTCCATGCTTATTCTTATAGTTTGCAGAATTATTGTTCTTGTTGTCGTGCAGCTACCTCTGCAGGCGGTGTGCTCTTAGGGTCACCTCTGGGACTTCCTCGTTTCCCTTGGGGGGGTGGGGGGGGGTATGGATTATATGTCCACAATTTGGGGGGAGGGGAGGGTGAGGGGGCATCACTTGAATCGTCATATTGAGTGGGGGCAGTTCAATGAATTGTCGGCTGGAGTGTGATTCTAAACATGTCGAGAGCTGAGGTTTAACACACAGGAGTGCAAAGAAATATTTGCCAATTCCATGGCATCGGTGAAGTTAACGTGCTAAGTTTAAATGTTTAAGCACAATGGTTTATGTGCCCTCGCTGTCTTGCATAGTTAACAAGGCGTAAGACTCATAAAATCACTGAGTTGAGTTTTTTTGTTGAAAGGCATTCAGCTGGCAAAGGGGAATTGAGTTTTGAGTGGTGAAGTGTCGCCGCCACGTGTGTGAATGGCATGTCGTGGAGATTAACCCAGTAGTTCAGAGGTCAGGGACACGAGAGACAACGAGTTCCAGTCCGTGTTTAAGTCAACCGTGATTTAAACTGGTTTCTCAAGCGTAGAGAGTCGATAGTCTCCTCCCAGCCACAAATTACTGAACAGAGCAATATATATTTTTCTCCTGGTATGGCACATTCGAGCTGTTAAAAATTCAACATTTTGGTTGAAATGCCATTGTGACTTAACGCTCTTTTGGAGGGCATATAAGGGTTTATTTTAGATAAGACGCCTACGCAAGTGACTGAAGTGACTTTAAAAGTAGTTGTGATGTACTCCAGGGGCTGTTCTGCGATGACACAATGTGATTTCACTCGTCTCTCTTGTGAGCGTTCCTGATGGAGATCTCTGCTTTCTCATGGCATGAATAGCTCAATTGTAAAATAATAATAATAATTTACAGTATATTGTCAATCCACTGCTGTATGAAGGCCTTCTCCATGCTGCACCCTGTCAGTTATGGAGGTTGTTTGATCATACTTCACCATGCTGGTCAGTGCAGGCTGGTGAAGGTGTGTGGGGAGGGGCAGGAATGGTTCGGATATCTCTGGCCACTGATAACGCTGTCTGTGGCCGGGAAATTACCTCAATTTCGACTGTGTTCATAGCGTGTCGCTCCAACCAGGACGCCACCGACGCAGTACCCAATTTAAATGTAATTTGGATTCAGAATATTAATTGAATGAAATGTTGAAGCCCGTTTATTGTAGGTCTTGTGGGGGTGAACACATTTTCATCTTGAATTATTCTGGGAAATTTCCTTTACGGGGGTTCCTCTGTGCCTTTTAAGCTTCATCGCTTTCAACTTGGAACGACACTTACAGGACATAACGTAGAAACATAATTGCCGTTTTTTTCTACCGTGAGGCAGACTCACGAATTAAGTATTTGTAAAGGTTTGCAGAGGGAACTTATAATGTTTTCGAAAGGCAAAATTAATGACATAATTCAGGGGGAAAAAAAGTATTGAAGCTGTTTTTAAACATTGTCATCTTTTCATGGATAAGATATATTTTTTGCACTGATAAAATATTTTGTAGGAACAGTACTTAAGCAATCTATGCACATTTTTAAATTCACTAACGTCACGGCCAGAGAAATTGAAATGTTTAATCAGGATTTCGTTTTGTTTAATGTAGACGTTTATAAGCCATTGTTTGTAATTAGATATTTTTACTAAACGTTTCAATCTTGGCACGCTGACGATTCTAAGGGACATAACGTTGAATGTGTCTCCTTGTGCAATCCTGTAATTTTTAACAACAAAATATCTGCGAAACGTAAGCAAGGAGCCCTCTATACCTTTACAGTGGCTTTAACTGAGATTAGCAAATGCAGGTAATCAAAATTCTGAACTATTATTTTTTGACAGATCAATATGTATATGAAACTGCACAAGTAGCTGGCGATTATTAAAACACCCGGGCGATCAACGGGCATTGTGGTATTTATTGCCTGGTGTTTGGCTTTGCAAAACTATAGTTATTTTTTGTGATTTGTTTATCAAAAAGGGGGAGTGAGGTGGTGGGGGGGGTGACCCTCTGTTGAGCTCCCCCCCCTTCCTCTGGAGTACGGCAGAGGCAGCCAGCTTGTGAACCTGGCGCAGGCCTGCGGCTTACGACGACGCCGTGGATCACGCTCCGTGCTCATGTTTTTTGCGTGTTTGGAAAACATTTTGTGCAGCTTTATTCGGGTTGTGGGTTGCGGGGCTTGCAGGGCTTGTGGTATGCGGCACTCACGCGCGTGCGTTGACGTGGCAAGTGTGAAAGTGCAACCGAGGCCCCCCTCCAACTGGTGTCGACTACGGTTGTTCAAGAGCGCGTGGGCTTTGTAGCGTGTCCGGTCGCCAAGTCAAGTCGGTTTGTCCCCCCCCCCCCCCACAACCTCCCCATACTGAAAACGAACGTCGTTGGGTGGTACTATTAATGTCTGCTGGCGGTCCCGAAGCAGTGATGGAGAATAACATTCCTATCTTCAGGGCCCACCCAGATTCTCCATGCAGAGAGACGGACACCGTGTTGGAATGTCGAAATTCCATGGGTGGTGGGGGGGGGAACCGTAGAAAATCTTGACCGAAATGAGACACGTTAGATTTTGAAGCAAATTTTTATTGGTAGTCTGTAAAAATGGGCTTGGTATCCTGCTTATTGGCAAGCCCGAGTTTCTATGCCACTGATATGCCCAATCCCATGCGAATCGTAGTGTCTGATTTGGAGAGCGAGTGTCCTCTTTGTTAACACCCAATGTCTAGATTCGCTTAGCCTCACCCGCTCTCACGAACAGGGTGATCCACGTGTAGACAACACCACCAATGTCCAATGCACCTTTTAGTTCAAATTGCCATTGAAGCTGTAAGCAAATCGCACCGGCTACGTTATACAAGGCGTATGTAGAAAGAGAGGTTAACAAATGCGTAATAAGTCTCCATACTGAGATTGGTGGGAGACATGCAGAGGCTTTGAGAATAAAATGCTGCCGTCTTACATTTTGTTTTCATTATAGCGGGGTGTCTCAAAATGGATCGCCCTCTGTAAGTATCTGGACTCTTTAATTGCCACGCTCATGGCCACGTGTAGTGACTGTACTCGATCTGTCTCACCCTTGGAGCGCATTGCATTCGACACGACCGACGCGCACCCCTGTATCCTGTGCCGTCTGCCACTTAAGCCTTAATGGATTTAATTATTATGCGCGGTGATGTTGATTATTTGTATTGCTGGCACGCGAAATGCATGTGCACAGGTTTTTTGGCTTTGGTGTGAATTTGTATTTTTGCCTGTTCGGGTTAATTGCTGAATGTGAATGTTTAATGTAGATTGTAGTAAGTTAACTCGCAGAGTTGACATTTTATTTATTGAAATTTAAATAAAAAAGGTGCATTTTTGAAACTGTCAAGTCAGAAAATAAAAAAGGATTGTCTTGGTGTCTTTGAATGGACTGGATTCTGAGAAGGTACGGCAGAACAGCCCATGAGGTTATTATTTTCTTGAACTCGTGCTGTAATTGTTATCGTCTCCAGATCATAAAAACATTTTCCACCCTTGCATAATGAAGCAAGGGTTGGGGTGTGTTTGTGTCTTAATCTGCTAGGTGTGTGTGACCAGATTGTGGAGTTTGGTGCCGGACACAACTTTGGGCGTGTCCGAATTACTATAGCGTCTTATAATCTGGAGAATGCAGTGCAGACTCCAGTCACACGAGTATTTTATACTACAGCGTAGACAAAACTACCTATACAACGTAACCATTGCATTTTCAATGTACCGAGTTGCTTGTCAGTAAGAAAGGTGTTTGGAAAATCAATATAGTAGGACAGAAAAAACCCAATACTTGATATTTAACTCAATTCGATATATAACTATATCCTGCCGGGTGGTGGCTATGCGTGTCTGTAATCCAGCACCTCAGCCCACTGCTGCACATTCACTGCAGCAGCACCATCGTTCCATCGAAGCGGACTTTTAATAGACACTTTAATCGACACCTCTTTCTCCAAGGCCACGAGTTTATTAAAGGCTCGCCTCTTTCGCCTGCCTTTCGAGCACCACAGCCTTGCGCAATTGCGTCTTTTAGATTTTGCGCGTGCTGTATATTTCAGATGCAGCGTGTGACTGTTTACATACAAGTTATCACGAGGAAGTGGGTGGCCAGAAACACGCCCGGCCGCCTTCGTCTACCCAGTGACGATGTTTACACACCGTCAACAGGTACTCATTTGAGGCTGAGTCGACCTAAGGGAGGCCCTGGACCGGTTCAAATAATCGCCAGTGGTGGTGGCCATGAGCGGGAATCGAACTGGGGTCGGTGGGTTTGTAGTGCGGCGCGCTAACCGCTGCACTACAGCTCCCCACACATACCGTTAGCGACTGCGCCATACGGCTTACACACACGACCCCATAGATCTATGTACATGCAGCCGTATACAGAGATCCATGGACTTCGATGCCAAAAGTTCCACTACCGCATGGGGTCAGTTGCCCAGATCTTATCCACGATCTTCTATTCTGCGCCTTTCCTCTCGTCACATCCACTGCCCTCGACCTCTCGTTCCACCGAATCTTGCTTCTGGATGTAACCCCCCCGCCCTCCTCGCAAGAGAGGCAATGCTTATGTCGCCTCGTGCAAAGACCCCACAAGCTCATAACCCCACCCCGGCTTCGATATTTAACAATCTCGGGTCGGCGTGCGACTGCGGTGACGCGGAACAGAACCGTGGAACCGCATGAACGACCCAATGTCCGATTCTCAAACACGGAGGGGGCATGAACCACAATGCCTCGCTGATCTTGGCAAGGAGCATAAACCACCACGCCAAGTCCGCTCTTGCTCACGGCGACTTGTGACTTGCCATCGAACAAAGACGGTCACTGCATCGCGCGCTTTCAGATGCGCCTCCTGTGGACGTCTGGAACGTTCTTCCGATATTCGTGAAGCTTACTGGAGCTATGCACATTTTTAATCTCGATGGAAAACATTAATTTAGAACAGATTTTTGTTTGTGGTTATCTTGTTCTTCTCCCGCACACCCGATTCTCACGATTGTCCACGTACGGTGCGGAGAAAGTTCAGCATACACGGACATAAATCACAGCAGCAGCCGAAGCGATGCCAACCACTCCGCTGCCCCCGATTGCAATTATCTGGCTCAACCATTGCGATCTAAAATAGCGGGCGTTTCTCCACTGCAACATCAGCCATACGAAGAGGGGCTTCACGTCATCCCCTGGAGAGATTTAACGGAGGCAACAAGGGGATTATGGTCGCAACAAAACGTCGCACTCGAATTGTAAACGTTGTGGGTTTGTTTTTTAAGTACACCCGTGTGCTGAAGTAGTCACTAATTGGAGCCTTTTTGTTTACGTGACAAAACTAATTTGCTGTGTCGGGGTGGTGGCGGCGGCGGGTTCAACGGACACCACATTTCTATTTTCGCGATCGAACTCCCAAAAAAAACACTTGTGAACAAAAATCTGGGGGCCGTGCAGTTCCCAAAGCTAGCCACTAGGTGGCAGAATTACAACACGAACACCCTCAACCATCAAACTAAACGCATTCGTCAATAAGTGTGACCTTAAAATCTTAAAATAAATAACATAATAGGCTACGTTTTCGGGCAATGGCCCTTCTTCGTTACATTTGGACGTTTCGGGCGATGACCCAGTTGTATCAGAACCGCACAAAAACTCGTAAGGAGGGTCACTGCTTGGAACATCAAATATATATTTTGCATTTTAAGGTGGCGTGAACGAACGTTGAGTTTATTATTTTGTTATTATTATTTGTGCCTTTGCACCACTGCCAACGCAGCAGCAGCAGCAGTATCACCAACTAATTCGCTTCGCACTAAACGCATACACGACGTATACGATGTGAGTATGTTTTGATGTGCGCACTATCCTTGAAACCTCATTGGGCTGCACCAGAGACGGCCTCTTTTTAATGGCTTCAGCGGTGCTTGCAGACCAAAGATCGCCAAAAGACAAACAGCACACGGACGACGCACCCAAAGCATGAATAGCTCAGGTTAAGAAGTTATATATTTCTATGGGACCCTTTTGCCACGATCATCGCGCGTTTTTAGATGCACTTTTCCTACATCAGGAAGCCACTGCAGCGGATGCACCCTTTAATCATCTAGATTTAAAACTCGTTTAATTAGAAATGTGTTCGGTCTTGAGTTTATCCTTTCCCCGAACCTCCGATTATCACAGTTGGCTACGTGGAGTGTGAAATAAGTTCATACATTAGGGGCCGTCCATAAATGACGTCACGCACCTGGGGGGGGGGGGGGGTCAGACATTTGTGACGATGTATGACGAGGGAGGGGGGGTTGAGAAATGTGACGTCAAATCAAAATGCGCAACTTTAAATAAATATAGACAACACGTTCTACTTAATTAAATAGACTTTTTAATTAATGTTTTCTCCTACAACATCAGGGCAGTGGCGATTTAAATACGCACTACAATGACAATAGTTTAAAGCGATTTGAAGCATCTTTTATTTTGGGGGGGGGGGGGCAGAGCTTTGTGACGTCATATTTGAGGGGGAGTCTGACTTTTTGTGACGGGGGGGGGGTCAAAAAATCGTCCAAAATCGCGTGACGTAATTTATGGACGGCCCCATACATCACAATACTGATACCACAAGAATGTGGTTATTGCATACTTGATACCTTCTAAAAAGTGTCTATTTGGTGTTTGAACATCTTAAAGCCTTCTGAATTTATGCCAAAAAGGGTAAATACTTGTTTCTTAACCATTCCATGATTTTCATATCCACAGTGAAATCATTCGTATTATTGGCACAACAATATAATGTAACCTGTTCTAGATTGGCCGTTACTAATCTGGCACGGGGGGACATCGAGTAAGCTTCGGTTATACTTCCCACGCCAAATCAAATCGACGAATGCTATAAATTGCAGCACTTGAGGTGGGTCCCTTAAAATGCACTGCATTGGACCAAAGTCAGCGGTCAGTATTTGTATAACTGCGATCTAATTGTAGAGCTCCTCTTATCTATGAATTGGGGGCGGGGGGGGCGAGTTAAGGATCCGGAATCGGCAATCAAACCACTAACGACCCAGAATCGCTTACTCGGGCAATCCCACCAACTCGCATATTGTGTGTGGGCCGTTTTTTTTTTAGGTTAGATCGCGTAAATATACGAGTCGTTCACCCATCACCAACTCACCCGACAGCCAATTTGTAAAGATTTGTCACGTAAACAAAACGTGATAATTGGTTACTAGTTCAGCACACCAGTGTGTATGGAGAGGGAGCCCACAACCTTTACAATTCCAGCAGTTGCGACGGTTCGCCGGACATTCCAATCAGCTTCGGGCGTTTTTGTTTTACGTGACAAATATTAAGAATTGACTGTCGGGTGGTGGTGGGTTAATGACACAACATTTATATTTACGAGATCTAACCTCTAAAAAAACCTTCAAGAATAATATTGGTCGCGAAAGCCCCATCACGTGTGTGTGGTCGTGCATCCGGGAGGAACGGTAGAGATTTATGAGGTGTTTAAGCAAAACCGCGCAGTTTAATAATAAAAAAATATATATATAAACCACATTCAAGTTTTATTATTTTTTAATTAAAGAGAAATGTTGAGATCATGCGAGACAACACAAATTGTCTTCAATGAATGAACGTGGAAATTTACATCTTCACCACTATACACACCGCCCGTCCTATCGCAAAACCTTTTCCTGCCAACCCATACATTACATTCAAATAATTACATTATACACCAGCCCATTTTAAACAATATATTACAGTGCCACTACACAAAAAAAAATCCCCGCCACATCTATGAAAATCAAACTAACGAAAATTACTTTAGAAAAAAAAGAATGAATAAAACCTTTCAAATCTACGAATGCAATGATGAGTGGTTTGTCAGCAGTAGTTTTGCTCAAGGCGTCCGAGTGAAAATGTGAACACGTGTCGCTGCCAACACTCCGCCTGGTGAACTTGCTCAGATGACAAGAGTTCAAAATGTAAACCACATTGTCCGTCGAGACCCACTGGCAAACTGGGGTGTTATGTGGCCAAGTGAAGAGGACACGGGAACAACAAAAACATGCAGTTTGAGGAAATCAATATTCCTTAAAAGGTGTATAACCATGGTATCGTCAAAGTGGAAAAATGGCCAAAGGAATTAACACGACCTTCAAAGTGCCTTTGTGCTGTTGTTGATTAAGATCTTCATTATAGTGGTATATTTCCACTATTATTATTATTATTATTCGTATGACGCCTTGCAAATCCTTTTCGTTGTACGAGACTGATAGGTTTTTTTTTTTAAACAGTATGGGAATGATACAAAAGTTACACAAGAAAACCCTTCAATAAACACCATATAATCCGAGATTATCCATCAGCTGTTTATGCATTCAGGCAGACGGTGAAATAGAATTTTATTTTACATTCACATTTAGGAACAGCAACTTAAATAATACATCTAAAAGTAGTCCTGGAATCCATCCATTCCCCAGTGCAATAATATTAAAAAGTCACAACATAATTTATACAATCCCAGGGGTGAAATCGTGTTCCTGTATAAACATGAACAACATCTTCAAAAGCATCAATATCATCACCAGCAGCAGTTCTCACCAGGCAGATTTACTGGGTAGGCAGGAAAAAACAGACCTTGGACCGTCCGTTGCATTGTCATGTTTCAATTCTTTCCGACAAAAAATTTCGAGATTTAACGAAATGACCTTCATCCGTCATCAGTGACCCTTGCAAAAATGAACCAATGCGAATGAACCCGAAATATAACAGTTGTGCGTTACCATGCGGGACTTGTCGGCCCAATTGAAACACCTGGGCAAATTTCATTGGAGGGTTTCCCCCCCCCCCCCCCCCAAAAAAAAACCTGGAGACAAAACCCGGAGCAGAGAGGATGATGCCCTTCGTGACAACTCGTGCTGAAGACTTCCGAGGACGAACGCGTGGTGGGAAGCGTCACGTAATCCATGCGCGTTCGCGCGATTCCCCCCCCACCCCAACCCACATACTTGCTTTAACTTGAAAAATGTGACCAATGCTCCCGAGACAGCTGAATGACCTGGCGATGTTCCGTTTTACAGTAGACCATGCTTTTGACAATGCCCCTCAAATTTCTTTGGAGGCGTAGCAATCAAAACTTACGATTTCCCTAAGGAAATGTTGTGGATAATCTTGGTTTGGCTGGACAAGGAGCAATGTCACAGTAACGGCACACAGCACACGACGCATAAGCGCGCATGGGCTCATATTGCACATGGGCTCAGATCGCGCATGGGCTCAGATCGCACTTTGACAAGTGTGCACATTTATTCAAACCAACCGAGCGTCAGGGTACGTTCGCGCTTACGTTGGGACAAGTGTGCGTTGTTCTGAGTGCTCCGACGATGCCCTGGGGGGCTTGCTGGCGCTGCCCTGGGGGGCTTGCTGGCGCTGCCCTGGGGGCTTGCTGGCGCTGCCCTGGGGGGCTTGCTGGCGCTGCCCTGGGGGGCTTGCTGGCGCTGCCCTGGGGGGCTTGCTGGCGCTGCCCTGGGGGGCTTGCTGGCGCTGCCCTGGTTGCCCCTGGGGCTCGTTGTTATTGTTGTTATTGTCGGTGTTATTGATGCTCGGCCCACCTTGCTTGGTCCCAGGTGTTGCTCCGTCTCCCTCCGGCCACGGTTCCCGGTACTCACACCCCTCCCCCCTCTCGACACCACCATCTACCCGAGTATATAGTTTTTATTTTGTAAGTGTATTTGAAACATACGATTGCATTTAGTAGCAACGTACATTCAAGTTGTTGTTGATGTAAAGATGTAGCCAGGGCTTAATTTCTCAATAAATAATTTTCCACGTTGCTGGTAGAGCGGAGTAGACATGTAACCAGTAGCAACAGCGGGAAATAAACTGGATATGGTGTGCCAGGCACAGATACTGTTTCTGGGTCCCTATCTCAATACAAATTCAGCTGAAACTAATCCCGGATGTAGGCATGGTTTGGAGATGATGGACGGGGATTATAACCTAAAGTTGACCTCTATCGTGAAGGGAGCCAGACGTCATATATTCACTCTTACATTTCACCTCCTGTGCATGCTTGTCCCATCACAGGATGTCTCCCAAAAGTAAAGATCCCCCGTGGAGCCTTTCACATTTGGGGCAAGTGCTGCTAGCAAGCACCTATGAAGGTCAGCACAGCACACGAGGGGGTGGATGACCAGCAACACACCCGGCCGCCTTCATTTGCCCAGTGGCGATGTTTACATATCGCACCACGTAATTATTTGACGCTGAGTCGACCTAGAAGAGACCCAGGACCAGTTCAGATAATCGCCACACGTCTGCTGTTATGCTGAAACCCTTACGAGCAGATTTGCTGAGCTCCGTCAGCGAGGTTGCAGTAATTGGGATGACTCCTTTTTTTTTACAGATTACATTTTTAAAAATGACAGGAAATTAAACGTCATGACCTTCCCCGCTGCCATGTGCTTGCAAAGGCGGCTTAAGAAATTCCGCAAACGACTGGCGAACGCTCAGTAGCAAAAAGGCCTAACCATGAAAAGTTGGCTCCACCGAGTTCAACATCGCTGTTTAAACTCCGAATAAGTTTATATATATTTTGATATTTTCGTATAATATATAGCACGTTTTTGTATCAATTTAATCGTTTGCAAAATGGTTTTGATTTCGTCTGTTGGCATAAACCAGTGTTCTTCATTGCAAACCCCGCGGGGGCCACTGGTGGCCTTGAGTGCGGCCACCTGACGTGCGCCCCCCCCCGCCCCCCACAACAAGACTGAAAACACCCCCCCATCATCATCATCATCGTGCTGCTGTCAAACCCCAATGGTTTCAAACGTGTGACGGCCCTCGGACCTTGATCATGTCTTATTGGCGAAAGTGCCCCCCCCCCCCCGCCGCCCTACCCCCCTGAAAATTAGTGGAGAACACTGGCAAAAACAGTCCTACTAGCCGGTCGACGCTACTGCCGTTCACAATGGCCAACCACACAAGGCTCACGCGCTGCGTAAACGTAAGCGGGGGTTTGGGGGACGCGGAAGGGGGGGGGCGAGGGGGCGAGGGACGGTCGATGGCGTCGCCGTGCAGCTCGGCGCACCGTGGCGCTCGCTGCAGCCGAGGCGAATCCCCGGTGGTCACCGCGCGCTGGTCGAGCGTGGCGCTCGAGGGTTAAGTGTTACACCGGCTTAGCCGGCAGGCCGTCGCGCAAACGACGGCGATGCACGACGTCACCGTCACCGACAACGCAGGGACGGCGGCGGCGGCGGACTCTCCGAGCTGCTGCTGACTCGGCGCGGCTGTGGTCGCGACTCGGCGGTGTCGGAAACGGGCCGGTCGGCGAAGCTGCTGCTGCTGCTGCTGCGGCGGCGGCGGCGTCGCCTCTTTGGAAACTTTTGTCGCTTGCAGCCGAAGGAATTTGGCGGTTGCGCCGATTGGCGGTTGCGCCGTCTCTTTCGTGGTCGCGGCGGTGGCGCCGGCGGTGGCGCCCGGCGGCTGCGATTGGGAGGGGAGAGCCGTCAGCCGTTGCAAGCATCGTCATCAACGTCGTCGTCATCGCCGCCACCTAGGACAGCAACGTGAGCGTAACGGGGCCCCTTGCCCTCTTGAGCGCCGCCACCGCCTCCTCGTGGGTCACCCCCTCCAGCGACTCCCCGTTCACCGACACGATCTGGTCCCCTCGCCGGAGCCTCCCGTCGTGACCGGCGGCACCCTGCCCAACGCGGGGACGGAAAAACACAATTACCGTCACCGGTGTTGTTACGTGAGCGTAAGTTGAATTTGGGTCGCCCGGTTCGTAGAGCAGCTCACGAACCACTGGGCAACCGCTCCCCACTGGCAGCAGTGCGCATGTACACAACACACATATGAAATTCAAAACATTCGTTACTCAACCTGCAGGTATCACCCTTTCCTGTTCCAAGACAACTGCAAGTTTCATGGTGGGTGTCCCGTTAACCCGCTGAATCTCGGAACGCGCAAGCGGCTCAGGGTTATTTTTATTTCGAGGTGTAGTGCCGTTTTTTTAAAGACAATACACTTAACGCAGAGAACTGTAGCGACACAACCGCACTCGACGATAGCTGGTGCCAAACTGTGCCACGTGTCCTCCGGCACAGCCTTGTGGGAGCCTAGGTACTGAAAAAGTCATTTTATTGTCATTTTTCTTACGGTCCCATTCCGATGACTTACACGTATGTTCGGCACCAGCCATCGGAATTGAATCGCAATAAAAAGTGATGACGTACGTCATTGGAATGGGAAAGGGTTAAAAGGGAATGCAATGGGCGATGTTATGGGCGATGTTTTAGGCAATGGCCCTTCTTTGTAGCACAGGCGCTGTAAATCAAACCTGTTAGGTTTCCTGTTATGTCATAGAACAAGCGTGGCCGTGATTCGCGAGTGCGTGGACGACCGCGTACATTTCCACCGCGTCAAATTCCTTTTCGCAAAGTTTACAAAGGCTACGCCTAAATGTTACAAAGGAGGAGTGGGGGGGTGGGGGCATTGCCCGGAGAAGTCGCCTATTATATACAGGGTGTCCATAAACTCTCTTATCCATACATCTATTTACCATCAGTTCAATAAAATAGATAGGGACTTCATGGACACCCTGCATTTTTCCCTTCAGTGCCACGCGCCTGGTGCGTAGCTGGCGGGAGGCGTTGGGCCCCGTGTGACTTTTGAGAGCCGCGGTGGTTGTGTCGCTGGCGCTTGCCTTGTTGAAGACGGTTTTGACGTAGATGGGGAGGTCGCCGTGGGGGCTTCCCCGACCGCCGACGATGCTGAAGCCCAGCCCGTCGGGCCCGCGTTCCAGCACTATCGTCTTGTGCTGCTGCGGCCTACGAGCGGACATCGCCGTCGTGAGTTGTCAAGTCGGTCGTTGGGTTCAGCTCGGAATGGCAGACAATCGAGTGAGGATGGGTGAAACGAAGTAGGCCCCAATTTATTTAGGGAATGCTTTTTACTTTCTCACTCCAGCGCTGTCCTACCAGACAGTCTCGCTCCCTTCACCTGATGAAGGCCGCTTGTGTTGTGGCCGAAACGTCGTGAGAATATTATTGTGTTATTTTATTTTATCAATTTATTATTTTATTCTCATTCTACGTGACTTTACCGAAAGAACCAAAGAAGAAAAATGCTTTTTACGCGTGACTTTCGCACCAAGATGCACGAGAAAAATAATAAATCACGTGTAAGTATGTCGATGTATCGCGTGAGTGAACGTCAGCCCACGTTGCCACAGAGTCATGTGACAGCTTCCTCCTCCAGCAAATGAGGGCAACAAGCAGTCCACCCGGCACGCCCTGACGCACTTCTCTGCCGGAGACGATGTGCGGCCATGGTCTCCTGCTCCCCGCATTCCCAATTGAATTGAATTTTTAAGAAATGCATGAACAGACAACGCTCTGTTTTACGTCATCAAACAAATACAAAAGGGTGCGAGTCCATCAGCTGATTGGCCTTCCCAAGCAACGTCCTCCAGCTGCAGCATCGGTTTAGGAAGTAACCATCAGAATGTTACTTTGTCCTACTCTTTCAACGATCTTTTTTCAATAAAACACTTTTTACTACTATTTTTACTTTACCAAGTAAGGCCCACTGAGCTATGTAGCTCTGTTTCAGAAGCTCAATGATGTGGCTTATCACGTGGAAATTGATATCAGCCAAACACTCTAAAAACAATTGCCCTCCTCCGGTTGCAATCAACATGCGTTAGTGTGGCATTTAACTGTATTTTTTAAGATTAGGGTTAAAAAGTTGTGAATTGAGTTAACAGACTAAGGCTAGAGCCATGAAAATAATCAATTCGGATTAGTAATGGGGCTCAGAGCTGTGAATGAGTTCAAGGGTTTGGGATAATAGGTCAGGATTATAGATTGTAAATTTGCACTGATAGCTAGTCACTGGATTAAGAGTTAGGCTAGGGCGCAAAGATAGCAGTTATCAAAGGGCTCAGGGATATAGTCCATGTCTCAATAGGAATGGAACAGGGATCACGGTTAGGAGCTATGGCTCAAAGTTAGGACAAATTGCTATGGTACGGATTAGGGCTAGAATAGTAAAACATCATGATGCCAACTCGCTGTGGACTGAGAAATTAGCGAATATGTGAACATGTGGGATATGTGAACATCAGTACACAGATACTGCATTGGATGCGGGCGGTTAATTTCGTGAGAACTGCTTCTTGTGTTTAGTTTGATGTCCTTCCCCCCACACCCCCGATTAGCACGGTTGGTTACGTACGGTGCGAAACAAGTTCCACATACGTACACACATGGTCACAGGGCGGATATTCGACTGTTTGACATGCGACTATTCAGCATTGCTCAGGGACATTAGGGGCAGGGCTGTCCATAGGGGGAGGGGGGGTAAGGGGCCTTGGGGGCAAATGCCAGCGGAGCCCGGGGCAGTCGCCCCCGATTCACCATGCACCCCTAGGGGGTGGCTCTGATTCGGGAAATGGGAACTAAGTGGGAGAGAGCTGGCCACAAAGCGAGCAGCCAGAATAAAAGTAGCTGGCATTTCGAGCGGAAGCGTCCGAGGTGGGATGCTGGGAATTTGCCGGCAAGAGAGGTGAAGCAATGCAGATGTGGGGAACGGAACGTGCGGCAGGGCGACTGTTGTAGATATGACGAGCCATATCGGCTGCGCAGGGTGGGGCGTGTATTAACAGGATGAGGGGGAGGGGGGCGATTTAGAGCCCGTGCACTAACCACCAGATATCTCGCTCGTCGGTACCACCTGGGGTCGCATCTCTTTGGCCGTTCCAGTTTCTCTATGTGGCCAATAACAATGAATGATTTGATAACCATTTGAAATCAGAGGAATTATCAAATCATTGAATATTCATAAATAAGGTTTTTCTTTGGGTTAGATCGCGTGAATATAAATGTGTCGTTAAACCCGCCACCACCTGACACAGCCAATAAGTAAGGTTTGTCACGTAAACAGAACGTGCCAATTAGTTACTAGTTCAGCACACCGGCGTGTTGGAGCGTAAACTCTTCTTGGCCATGTAAATCAATGAGAAATACGAATGGTTCACGACCTTAGGTGATAGCAATTTGTGCCCTGGCCCGTGGACTTGACTGCCAAGACAGACAATGGAGTATCTTAGTCCGGCTACCAAGGGCGAGGGGAACACTTAAGGATCAGAACGCGGGGCACTGTCAGGCCAGATCGTGGGGGTCACTCTGTGTGTGTCGACTCTGCAGCAGCTGGATGCCACGGTGGCTAGGAGATGTTAACTGCCTCGCCTGGTATACAGGAGGTCGTGGGTCCGATCCCGACCCTGATGCCTGCTGTACATTTGGAGTTTGCGTGTCTTTCTCCCCGTGGATGTGTCGCTTTTTGTCCGGGTCCTCCGGTTTTCTCTTCGCATTTAAAAAAACAAGCGTTTTAGAGCATTTGGCTGCGATACATTTCCACACGATAGGCCACTTCGTTGAGCTAACGTTCATGGCCAGGTCGATTCTGAATAAGAGCTGTGTAGCTCATTGGGCCATACCTGGTAAAATAAAGAAAACATGGTTGAGTTTTTAGTTAAGAATGCGTTGGCAACGAGGTGTAGGTGGTGGTGGTGGTCTGGCTTTGGGGTCTGGACCAGCGGTCGGCAACCTGCGCCGCCAGAGCTCAATGCGGCGGCTCTTTAACAAGCGCTGCAGTGCGGCTGACCCCTGACCATGGACATCTGGGTTCGCCACAGAAGTCCAGTTAACGAAGGGAGTCGAGTTCACCACGAGCCGGGGCGGGGGTCAGCGTGCGGCTTCACTGACGACCGGGACTACCGTCGCGTGTTTACCACGTGCACTTCTTGTTCTTTTAGTTGCCGACCCCCCGACGTGGATGAAGCGCCGCAGGGGGGGGGTGGGGGGGGGGGACTCACCCAAGGTCCACGGCGGCGATGCCGGCGCCCGATTGGCTGGAGGAGCTGCCGCCACTCGACTGAGCGCCGTCGCTGCGGTTGAAAAACCGGCTGAGGTCCGTTCCGGCCACCACCTGCAGCGGCAGTCAGCAGCAGTCAGCGGTAGCAGCAGCGGCCACGGAAGGTGCAGGACCCCCGCGGGGGTTAAAGAGAACGGCTGGGTGCGCATTCGTTTCTGCGCGTGTGTGTGTGTGTGTGTTGAGTGTGTTGTGTGCATTGTGTGTGTTGTGTGTTCCACCGGGCCTGAATAGACACTTGTGAAAAGCACTTGCGCTGACATTCTTGTACAACTAAGCAGGGGATGTTTGTCTTTGTACTGGTGGAGAGGTGGTTGTAGTAAAGTGCACTGAGGAGAAGGGGCCTACGCGCGTTTCCACGCACACACACGCACACACGTCCGTGCTCACCTGCAGCCGGAGGATGCAGGGAGATTTCTTGAGGAGCTCCACCACCTGCGCGTGCGTCAGCCCATGCACCGCCTCACCGTTGACGCTTATCAGCTGATCTCCCACCTGCCCGACACAAAGACAAAGTTCAACCCCCTTCCTCCCAAGCCATGTAGCACCTATGTATGTTGAACTTCTTTTGCATCGTGCGTAGCCAACCGTGCTAATTGGAGATGCTTATGAAGGCTGGCACGGCACACGACGGAGTGGTTGGTCAGCACCACGCCCGGCCGCCTTTGTCTCCCCAGTGACGATGTTTACACAACGCACTAGGTACTCATTTGAGGCTGAGTCGACCTAGGGGAGGCCCAGGACCAGTTCAGTCACTGGTTTTGGGCGCGAGCGGGAATCGAACTCGGGTCGACGAGTCCGTAGCGCAGCGAGCTAACCGCTCCACTACCACTGCCCACACACACACATACAATACACACATACACACACATACACACACATACACACACACATATACACACACGGCTACTTTTGTCAACCCAGAGCTAACGTCAACACGCTGCCAAACGTATCCATTTTAGGCTGAGTCGACCTAAGGGAGACCCAAGCAAGGTTCAGATTCAAGTTGTCGTCGGCGGCGTGCATCTGCGAGTCACAACATCGGCACCAAGGAAACAAAGGCAGCAGGGCATTGTTACTGGCCACACCACCACCTCATCGGGCTGAACCGGCCTTCACAGGTGATCGCTCACCACGCTTGCCCCAACAGTTTACGTAGGCTACATTGGAACTGGCCTTTCCAAAAATTCACGACTCAGGTCCCTACACGTGGTGTAGGACGCGGTCGGGTGCCACGGTGGCGGAGATGTTAACTACCTCGCCTGATATACAGGACGTCGTGGGTCCGATCCCGACCCTGATGCCTGCTGTACATTTGGAGTTTGCTCGTCTCTAACTCCTGCGTGTCTTTCTCCCCGTGGATGTGTCGCTTTTTGTCCGGGTCCTCCGGTTTTCCCTCCACGTTTAAAGACGTGCGTTTAGAGAATTTGGCTGCTATAAATTTCCACATGATAGGCCACTTCGTTGAGCTATCATTCATGGCCAGGTCGAGTCTGAAAAAGAGTTCTAAAGCTCAGTGGGCCTTATCTGGTAAAAGAAAAAAAAATAGTTTAGTTTTTAATTAAGAATGCGTTGCCAATGAGGTGGTGGTGGCGTCGCCGTGGTGGTGAGATGTTAACTACCTTGCCTGGTACACAAGAGGTATATTTGGAGTTTGCGTCTCTCTCTCTCCCCGTGGTTGCGTGGGTTTTTCTACGGGTCCTCTGGTTTTTCCCTCCACATTTAGAATCAACATCACCACGCGTTCAGAGTATTTGTCTGCTGTAACATATCCGCGTAATAAGCCACTTCGTTGAGCTATCATTTGTGGTCGCTTCTGATCAAAGAGCTACATCGCTCAGTGGGCCTTACCTGATAAAATAAAAAAAACAAGTTAAATCGTTTAGTTTTAGTTTGGTACACGGAGCTCACCTTGAGCTTCTGCGTGCGGGCGGCAATACCGTCGGCCTGGATCATGGCGATGAAGACCGGAACGTCCCCCAGGGGGCTGCCCATGCCCCCCGCTATGCTGATGCCCAGGGAGTCGTTGGGGTCCTGTGTAAGGGGTCAAAGTTTTTAGTTAGGTTTTGTTTAACCAGAGGCAGGATGAGATTCACTTGCAAGCGGGAGCCACCCAAACATTTTTTGACATCGGAGCGAAAACAAGTGTGTTGCAAGAGAAATTGAAAATGCTTCACAAAACATGAAGAAAATACAGCTGTTGTATTGAAAGTTGGCGTGGACAAGCTGGAGGCAGAGAGACATCCAGGTATTTGTCTGTATGGGTGTGTATTAGAGATGAGTTTCGGAAGAAAATTTCTCCAGATATTGCATTTTGGAATATAGAGGCCAAATTTTTGATTTTATTTTCTACTTTATTTTCTAATTTCATACTTTTGGATGTAAATGCATTCCATTGAATGCATTGCCTTTAAATCACATTCATTGTTTATGTATTCAATTGAATAGGTGTATGTGTGCGTGTGTATGTATGCATGGGCCGAGTACCTGGGCAATGATGTGTAAACATCGTCACTAGCAAGACAAAGGTGGCATCGGTACTCGCTAACAGCACTTGCCCCAAAAGGCTGTTAAGGCTATAAGGGAATATTTGTCTTTAAACATTAGCACTGGGGAAACAAAAGTGGTCGGGCATGGTGCTGGCCAACCCCCCCCCCCCCACCCCGTGTGCCCAGCCGGCCTTCATAGGTACTTGCTAACTAACAGCACTTGCCCCAAAAGGCTGTTGAGGCTGCAAGGGGGCAAAGGGAATCTTTGTCTTTTAAGTGTGCACGTGTGTATGTTTGTACGCATGTATCACCCACCTTGGTCAGTTCCACAGTCCGTATTTGTTGCTGCTGCTGCTGCTGCGGTGTTTCTGAGCCTGACGGGAGCCACGACAAGGAACAACAACAAACAACAACGATGACTATGACGATGACTACGACATCTTGAAGCCTTTACCTATCCACAGCCGTCGCTGGCTTGCCGCTTGTTCTCAACGGAGCGTTCTGCGTTGTGGCGTCGGACCGACATGGACGAGCCAACTCGCTCTTCTGTGTCGGCGAGGATGCGTTCGGAATCAGAATTAGAATATTTATTTAGACTGGAGGAATCCGATGAGCTATAAAGCTCTCTTTCACAGATGTCCAGCAGGGGCGGGTCAGAACGTCAAAACAACAGATAACACAAAAAAAAAACACGACATGAGTGCCAATTATAGCAATGTAAACAAATCACTTAGAAAATACATCCAAGTAAAATTTAACAATTTGTTTTATCTTACAAGTTAAGGCCCACTGAGCCATTAGCTTATTTTTCAGAAGCGACCTGGCCACAAATTATAGCTCAACAAAGTGGCTAATCATGTAGAAATCCACAGCAGAAAAATAGTCTCAATAATATAGACGCATGTTTCTAAATGCGGAGGGAAAAACGGGAAGATTTGGAGAAAAAAAATCCACTCGGCCACAGGGAAAACACACAAACTCCAAATATACAGCAGGCGTCAGGGTCGGGATCGAACTCTCGACCTTCTGCATATCAGGTGAGGAAGATGACATCTCACCGCCGTGGCGCCCCTTAAAATAACTAAAAAATAAATAAAGTACATATGTTCAAATTTCAGTATCCCGTGTGCATCGAACCTACTTTCTGAAACGATTGCCGTACACATTACTCCCCGTTATCACTGGCTTAGGGTGGTTGGTATGGGCCCTGGTACAAGGAATGAAATGGGGTCCCCCCCCTGTCCAATTCCCACTGGCTACCCCCCCCCCTGCCCACACCCCCCCCTCACTCATTATAGCCAAGCACCTGGGCCCATTCAGCCCGTCGGCCGTGGTGCAGCTACACCGCCTGCACACTCGATAGCTACGCCACTGCCTCGTGCGTTTCATGAGGACGACAAGAGGCTGCCTATTGTGGCACTGCCAGGATAAGAGCCTTTTTGGACGGTGTCAAAGTAGTGTCACGTGACCCGTCAGAGCCGTTACCTAGCTAACCCCCCACACCCCTACCCCACCCCTACCCCACCCCCGATCGCTTCTACGGTGCCGGCACCACCAAAACTAAAAAATTGAGCCGACAGCCACCACCAGCTCCGTTCCCATCAATTCGGCGAGACGTTTGGTCGGCGCCCCACCCCCCTCAACCCACCCGCGGGGGAAGCCGCCATATTGTTATTATCACCTTTCTGTTTCGCTTAGATCTCATCTATACTTGTGAGTGTAGTTGTATTTTTACATCCAGCCCTTTCACATACTTCAATATAAAAGGCGCTTTACGAAACAGATATTATTATTATTCAATCTGCCCGATTCGTCCTGCGAGCCCATCCGGCCCCGGCCCACCCTTGCCACATCACCGGCGGGTACGGCCGACCACGGCCTGCCGCCCGTGGCCGCCCGTGGCCGCTCGTGGCCGCTCGTGGCCGCTCGTGGCCGCTCGTGGCCGCTCGTGGCCGCTCGTGGCCGCTCGTGGCCGCTCGTGGCCGCCCGTGGCCGCTCACCGGATGTGGCCTGCGAGCTGGTGGGGGACAGCGTGCCGTCGGAGCGGCTCGGCGTGGGCTCACTGCTGCTGCTGCTGCCGCTGGCGGCCGCCGTGGCGGCGGCGACGCTCGCCGTGACGACGCCGAACGGCGGGGGCAGGCTGTTGGCGCTCGCCTGGCTCACCTGCACACAAAACCAGAGCGGGGAGGGGGAGGGGTAGCAGGGGGGGACTGTGTGTTGTCTTGGTCTGGTCTGGGACTGTTTTGTTGTTGTTCTTGCTGCATTGCCAAAGCGTGATAAATAGGACTTATATCATTAATTAAATAATTCCTTATTTGTTTATATTTAGTGACCTGCTCATCTTTTTCTCTATTCTGCACACCCATCGGTTTTTAGTTTATTGTTTGCCGTTGTACGTACTGGACATCTGTGGAAAAAAAGAGCTTCACATCTCATCGGATTCCTCCAGTACAAATAATCGATCCGATTCTGATTAAGGAACTCCCTTCAACCCGCGGGCGTCGAGGAGGTGCCCGCACCCCTGGGCTCGCCAGGAGACACGCGGCGCTCGGCAAGTGCGGACTCATCTCCACCGCCGCTCCACCACCTCGACTGCGATGAACCGAGCCGGGCGGCACGTCCGAGGGGCTCACCTGGCTGGTGTCGGACGTTCGCCGGGAGGAGAGCAAGGAGCCGACCTTCATGCGCCCCACCTCCATCTTCACCACACCCTGGGCGCACTGCTCGGAGACCACGGACACCACAACGACTCGTTAAGTTGCCCAGTGTGTGTGTGTGTGTGCCTGTCTGGGTGTGTGTCTGTGTGCATGTATATAGGTGCTCGCTAACAGCACTTGTCCCAACAGTCCGGTAAAGGCTATACACGTGGGATCTTTGTCGTTGTTTTGTTCGTGGGGAGCGGTGGCGCAGAGGTTAGCATGCTGCGCTACGAATCTGCTGACCCGAGTTTGATTGCCGTTCAAGGCCAACACCAGCGACGATTATCTGAACCGGTTATGGGCCTCCCCTAGGACGACTCAAATGATTACTCTGTGCAGTGTTTAAAACATCCCCACTGGGGTGACAAAGGCGGCCGGGCGTGGTTGGTGCTGGCCACCCACCCCCTCGTGTGCCGTGCCGGCCTTCATAGGTGCTACTCGCTAACAGCACTTGCCCCAACAGTCCGTTCAGGCTATAGGGGGGACCTTTGTCTTCGTGTGTGCGTGTGAGCCCCTGGTGTCCGTCGTGCCTTGAGGATGGCAGCGACGGTCTCCTGTGAGGCAGAGCGCACGTCCTCCCCGTCCACCGACAGGATCTGGTCGCCCTGCGTGAGTCGCCCGTCAGCCTCGGCCGCCCCCCCGTGCACCACCTCCGACACAAACACCCCGTTCCCACTCCTGCGCAGCGGCCACGACAACAACAATGAGAACAACAACAACAACGACGGTAGTGAAAACACAGGTGGGTGGGTGAGCTCATCACCGAGTGAACAGGCAGGCAAGCAGGTGAGCAGGTATTTGGGTGATCGGTCTACCGATCAATTGAGCGAGCGATTGGAAGATAGCGTAGTTTATTTTTTGCGGGGCAGGTAAGCGAGCGAGAGCGTAAAAGAGCGCACAGGGCAAGTGGGTGAGAGCTAACGAGTGAGCGGGGTCGGCATGTGGCAATCGATCGATCGAGCGATTGGACGACCGAGCAAATGGATGACATAAGCGAGCGGGCCAGGCGGGTGGCGTTCGCGACGGACAAGCGAACGAGCGAACGAGCGTGCGCGCGGATTGCTTTTGGCGGCGTCCGTACTTCTTGCCGACGATGCTGAGGCCGAGTCCGCGGCCGGCCTTCTTGAGCAGCTCCACGGTGAAGACGTGCAGCGCGCTCTCGTCGTCGCCACGGTAACGCGCCTCGTCGCGGTACACGTACAGACGCACGAGCTGCGGTGATGCGCGCAGAGCGTTGATGGCGTCCTCGTGCGTGGCCGAGCGCAGGTCCGTCCCATTCACCTGCGCAGGCACCAAGAGGTTGAAGTGACACCGTTCGGGTGATATGTCGCCAAGGACCGAATATTTTTTCCGTTTCCACGTGGTTTAGTGTTTCGTGCCGTTCCGCTTCCTGTCCGATGTTTCGCTCCCCAGTGCCGGTAGCTTCTTCAGAAACCGGGAAAACACGTCGGAGAAGAGCGGCCGAGGATTTCTGCCCAAGCACCCCGGTTGACCTTTCGCTCGCGGGAAGGTCGCTCATCGTCCTCTGCTGGAACTCGCTTCCCCCAGCCACCGGTGGCGCTTAAAACTCTGGGTGGATGTCGTAACGATATAATAGGATCCGGAACATACCGAGGAACACAGCACGTGGGGAACAATTGATGTCTGACCCTAATGGCAATGGATCAATGCGGGCAGAGAAAGCAGTCTGGTCACGTGACTCAGGGATAATGCGGCTTTGACCTTTAACCTGCGCTCAGTGGCAGCAACGCTCATTCTCCTCCACGGCCCCCCTGGTCTGGAACTTATTTTTCTAAGTCCACGGTCCAGACCTTCCTTTTCTCCTCTGCCTGTGACCGACTGCCTTTATAAAACTAATATGAATAGAATCAATGCAGAACATTGATGGATTTTTCTGCATTCACCTCTGTTGCTAAATACCCGAAGCAGCCTACAGCAACATGTATAAGCATGGGGGATCGCCCATTAAAACAATATGCAGGAGGTCGGGTAAATTACAGGTGATTTGATCACTGACAAGATTAGAACATTAGACTATTTAAGAATGTGTTGTTGTTGTTGTTGAAATTATTGAAATGACCTTTCACATAATCACGGTGGTCTACATTGGAGCGCCCAACAGCAATAACAACAGACAAAGATAATAATACATGCCACAGGCAATGTCTACTCAAGACGTGGCGGTAGTAAGGACGATGGACGTAACACGTCCTCCGTGAAAAAAATTATACCTATGATGGCAAAAAGTAAACCACGTGATGAGAAAGCGCTGTGATTGCATGCACGCCGCGAGGTGACGTGTGGAGCGGATGCGCTTGCTCGTGCGAGGATGTGTTTTTTTTTTGTTTCTATGGCGAACTTCTTTCTCACCGTACGTAGCCAGACGTGCTAATCCTAGGTGCGGAGGAAGGACAACAAACTAAACACACAACAAGCAGTTCAAAAAATAAATTCGTTCATAATCGAAATTTAAAAGTGCAAGGCACCAGTTGCTCCCCTAATATCGGAAGGAAGAGCGTTCTAGATGGCTGCAGGAGCGCGTCGCAAAGCACACGATTGGGTGACCGCCTTTGTTCGATGGCCAGCCAAAAGCTGCTCCAAGGATGACCAGAATTCAAAGTGCTTGTGCCAAGCACTTTGTGTCTGATGAGTGCGACCTTTTAAGATCCAATACGGCCATCTACGCTCCCCCCCTGCCCACCCCCCCCACCCCCCCACCAGGGCTGAACAATTTGCAGAAAATATCTAAATGCGATTAAATTTTTTGAGTCAAGCTTCAATTCAATATTCACTGTGTAATAGATTTCAAACACGTGATAGAGTATTACCACGTGATACCATCAAAATATGAACTGCTCTATATGTTCTAATGCAAGGATGAGAACTTAAAAGATATGATTTGCTTCCAACATGTATTTGTTAAAATCTTTTAATTGAAATAGTACAATCAAACATAGAACAACTGCTAAGTTAAATAAAATAAGTTACAATAATACAAAAATAAAACAATTCCAATAAGCCAGCAATATAACTTTTCAAATCGCAAAAAAAACCGCAGCGTTTGCGATTTGCTAATGGCATCGTTCCAAATTGCGATGTCGATTTGAAATCGATTCATCGTTCAGCCCTACACCCCCCACCCCCCACGGTCTCACGAGAGCTGCGATGCCACTATGCATCCTACAATATAAAGTAATTAAAGGCACAGCCGTGCAACTGCTTGCTCTTGCCAAGGCTGGCGGAACCACCTCCACTACAGCCACCCCTCTCTCCTATCCCAAGAGGGTATTCGGCCTACTCTTGGGAGAGGTGCGATAACATACCCACGTTAAACCCCACCAAACGGGACCTGCTGATCGATGGACCGACTGTGCGCATGATATAACGTGTGATCGCAAACTTCCGCCCTGGTAAAATATCGTCATATCGTGAGCAACGTCGCTCATCTCATTTTTCTCGCGTATGCAATTTCTTGACAATCTACGTAGGAAATAACAAACGAAATCGTTAAAGGTCTATATAAATAAATATTACCCATCAAAGTAATGCTTTGCTAAGCGTTTTTCGTTGTAATTGACAGCACGGCGTTTTATTTGACATCATCAGATCCGCGGTTAATTCACTTGTGCACTTACCTGCGCTGCAACTCGTTACAGATTGCTAAGCTCTGACGACGGGAAGACTCGGTGGGGCAGGCCTACGCCGAGCGAACTGCAGTTGAGCAACTTTCAGGTAAATCTTTATTTTGCACAGCGAAGCGCAGAAAACGAGAAACGTGTGAAATACGTCCACACAAAGTTTGCGGGCAAGGGATATGATATCGCGATAATCGTCACAACGTGGACGACGATGGTAAATATCGCGGCCACCTGAGATCTCACCTTCAAGATTTGGTCTCCGGCCCACAGCCTCCCGTCCTTGGCAGCAGCTCCTTCTTCGTAAACCTCGTGAATCATGATGGCTCCCTGGAGACAAATGTCATCATAGTAATATATTTATATACTATATATATAAGGGCGCTTCAAAAAACATGTTAACACTTACACGGGACTATCGTTTTAAATGGAGAAAGAACAGATACTACACTGTAACGTGATAACAAATGTAATGTTAATCGCTTCAAAAAGTCAAAGAGTCTCCCACTTGTTCGCCATCGTTGTCAACTGCGTGGCCTGGAATCTTCTCCAGGTACTCTCCAGAGTCCGGAGGCAGCAGCACATTTCTCGTGTTATTGTTGCAAATTCTCAGAAGTGTTAAACATTGTTTTGAAGCACCCTGTATAGCACCTTCCACACAAAGCAAACGTTCACCAAAGCGCTGTAACCACCGGACGGTGGCACCACTCTACCTGATGATCCATTTGTAGAAACCCCACTGAAACCACAATGAGTGAGCACAGGTCAGAACACCACTGTGCCCCCAAATGAAAACGCACGCAAGACGGACGACGTTTCGAGCGGAGGCCCTTCTTCAGAGCGGCGAGGAGAGATGGCACGCTTTGACGGAGGGTCCCACTGCTCAAGACGTCGCCCCTCTCCCCCCTATGCCAGCCCCCCCCCCCTCCTCTGTGAACTCCTACAGCCACGACTCGACAAAACTCCTTCCCCCCCTATCCCCCCCCCCTCCCGTGCCTATATAAAGCCACAACAGCAGATAATTTTCTCACCTGAAGACTTGTGTTGTGACCGAAACGTCGTGTTTTTTAAAATTATTTTTCTATCTACGTGACTTTACCGCAAGAACCAGAGAGCATATTATTGAGATGTTTTATTTTTCGTTCATGTTCAGCGCAGTGTTGTTGAGGAATGTGTTCAGTTCTTGTTATTAATGCTCGTAAACCGCTGCCAAAGCAGTATCAATAAAAACATAATTTTGCTTACGCATATTTTGAATGTGAAATGAGCAATTCACACTGGTTATGCCGGACAACAAAGCGTATCAGAGGGAGAGTGTAAACACATGTAAGTACGTGATTGACATCAGTGGGAGACATGTAGAGGCTTTGAATTAACACGTGAATTGCTCCCTTCAATTATCCAGTATTGGATCACGGTGTAGTATAAAATACTCCACCACGGAAAACAACGACTGACCGTGCCACTCAGCACTTCCGTCACGCCTCGCCACGGCGCTCAAGATTTGTACATTTTCTATTTTTTTTGGCTTTTAAGCGTTTGTTTTTAACGATCAATGGTTTACATTTCATCCGGGGGGCAGGGCAGTGGGAGAGATATCGCATTACCCTGGTGAGAGCCATCGCGCCAACAGCAGATTACATTATTTAAGTTGCGGTAATATTCTCTCGGTCGATGCAACTGCGCAAGTCGGATCCATTACACTATGTAACAGAATCTTTGCTCCTGGGTATATAAGTGCTATTTCGTAAATGCTTATGCCTAAAAAGTACAGAAAATGGCTGTTATTCCCCCACAAACTTTGCTTTTGTGACCAGGACGGTGATATTTTTAAATTGACCTATTTTCAATGAAAAAAGGTGCGAATTTGTGTTTTTCTGTTCACATAAAGTCAGAAAAAACAACATATGAATAAAAATGTACATGTATTTATACTAAAGTAATACAAAAATTACTAAAAAATTTAGGAGCAATTTTTCGAGATTTACGTTTAAACTGTAAATCACTTTCACGAATCAGCCCCCAAATGTAGTATCCCATCATGTTCTCGTTATACTGTCCTTGGTAGCGGCGTTCCAAGTCCAGTATATCCTGGTGGAAGCGCTCGCCTTGCTCCTCCGAGTACGCTCCCATGTTCTCCTTGAATTTATCAAGATGAGCATCAAGGATTTCGACTTTGAGGGACATCCTCCAGCCAGCCCATTGTGCCGTGGTTCTTCACCAGAGTCTCAACCAGCTCCACATATTTTTTGACCTTGTGATTGCCCAGGAAGCCGCGAACCACTACGACAAAGCTGTCCCAAGCCACTTTCTCCTTACTAGTGAGCTTCTTGGGGAATTCATTGCACTCCAAGATCTTCTTTATCTGTGGTCCGATGAAGACACTGAATCTATCTGGAATGTTCTGTAAAATAGGTAAATTTCCAAATATCACTGTCCTGGTAACAAAAGCAATGTTTGTGGGGAATAATAGCCATTTTCTGTACTTCTGAGGCATAAGCAATTAGGAAATAACACTTACTACCCAGGAACAAAAACAAAATGTCTTACACGGTGTTATCAACCAGATGATCATCTTCCTTTGTTCTCAAGTCCACCGAGCTCATTGTCCCCGGCCGGGCCACTAACAATGGCTTCGCTTAAAATATTCCTGGTCTAACCAGGGTTGAAACCTGGTTGTAAATGCAACCGGAGGTGGAGCAGTGGTACGGTGGTTAGCGTACTGGATGGTGAACCCCGGTGGGCTGAGTTCGATTCACTGGCCACGGCTCACATCAGTGGTGAGGAGTAACTTCACGGAGCAGAGTGGTAACATATGGTCAACTAGCCCCATCGTGAACCACACGGCTAAAGGAGGCTTTCATCCAGCATTCGATTGACTAAATCAGCTGTATGTGTAAACTAAACTACTCAACTTTTAATTTTTTTTATTTTACCAGGTAAGGCCCAATAAGGTATACAGCTATTTTGCAGAAGCGAACTGGCCACAAATGACAGCTCTGAACGTACGTTTCTGAATGTGGAGGTAAAAACCAGAGGACCCGGAGAAAAATCCACGAAACCACGGGGAGAGAGACACGGCAACTCCAAATATACAGCCGTTGGGGGTCAGGACTGAACTGAGATGTTAACTACCTCGCCTGGTACGCATCTCGCCACCGCGGCGCCCTCTCCCATGTACATGAGCAACGTGGGCAGGACAGTGTCAGATGGAAGGTGAAGGGTCGAGGGTGAAGGGGAGAGAGGAGAGAACCTGTCATCCAGCAGTGGATTGATAGCATGGCTGCAGATGTGCGCATGAGGAATGCCGCGCTGACCAGGGGGGTGTCGACGCCGCCCACGACGCTGAGGCCCAGGCCCGTGCGGCCCTTGCTGATCTCGATGGTGGTCTCGCGGCCGGCCACGATGGCGCACGTGGCCGGGTCCAACTCCTCCGCCACGCGGGACGACGTGACGCCTGCACGCGGTGCGATGGTAGAGACGTGGGGGGGGGGGGGGGGGGGGGGGGGTTGGTGGTGGTGGGGAGCGGTTGGTATGGGTAACGCAACCGGGGGCCGGGACGGTTAAGTTGAGGAAGCCGGGTCGATGAGTAAAACATCGCGACGACTGCGGTTTTTGTGCCCGATTACTCGGGCCCAATTTTCAAATGTCGGCCTCCGCTCACATCTTGCCTCCCAAAGGCTGGAATTCCGCTCTACAAACCAAGACTAGTGTGACACGGCCGATGACACTGATGACATCGTCAAGCTCCGTACGTTACCTCCCGTCCACCAGCACACTTGGGGGAACAGATGGGCGAATGTGTATTTTCTCCAACTTATTGCACCACTCTCCTATAAGTTGCAAAATCGACTGCTTAAATATTTAATCAGATAGCTCAGCTCTAGACGTAACCCCGTCTGCGCTGCGACTCGTACGAAGATGCCCCGCGACATCGCTCCTTCTTCTTCACGTGGCACGCGAAGCCTCTCTGGTGTTTACGCGAGCCAAGCTGCCTGCGATTTCGTGACGTAATTCAAAACCGGTTTCTAGTTCGTTATGCGCAGCTCAGATACGTTCAAGTCTGGTGTGTCTTAGACGCTGGCCAGACGTGTTCCAAAAAGAATTACGCACTCTCTTGATGAACTGCGGGTAATAAAATCACGACTAGGACCAATATACCCGGAGGGCCCATAGGCTGACGGATCTAAATGTTTTATATTTATTACGCTCACACAGGACACCTTTTGTGTGTTAATTGCACGCGAGAAGGCAGCCCCCTCACATGACCCTCGCCAGACTTTCACCACTCCCCTGACCTCACCACGCACCAAGTCATCAACTCATTAGCATAATCTTCTTCGCTCACACTGCACTCTCCGATGTTCACCATTGTTTCCCTTCAATGTGACTTTACCGAAAGAACCAAGAATATGAATCACTGCAGTCGCGAAAGCTTTAAATCAAAATATAACCTTATCGGTCTTGGGCCCCGCCCACTCCGTTCTGATACTTCGGCCACGCCCATTTGAAACCTTTATAAACAGTTTGCCTTTAGAGGCTTACCCTCCTTTCTTTCTCCACCTGATGACGATCGCTTGTGTTGCGATCGAAACGTCGTAGTTTAAAAAAAAAAATTATAATAAAAAAATTGAACCTAACTACGTGACTTTACCGAAAGACCCAAGTCATCAACTCACCTGACCTTCACCATTCACCGGTTTGTCCAATATAGTGGGAAGCACTTGAGATTCAATGGCTCCTACTGCTCCCATAGCATGGCACAAGATTGTCCGTTGTATGGCAGTTCGTAATGGGCTTGTGGGCATTGAGTTCCGTGCCAAGCGATTGCTTCAAATGGTGGAGTGGAATAAGCAGCTCCAGGACCGCTAAGCCGAATTATCATCTCAGAGGTAAATTGTTTTCATAATTTCGAGATCGTTTGCATAAATTACGGATCACAAGCTTCCCAGTGACCCCTCATTCATTTTAATTGATGAAGCGGCCAAGAAGGAATTCTCCAGACTCTGATACATGCAGATTAGACACTTCTTATTAATAGTTTCTCACCGAGGTTGAAAATATGTATGCATTGGCTCTGCCCGTCTGCCTATAACGGGGTGGCCACTATAAATCTCATGATGATGATACAGTACGAACGGAACGGCAGCATCAAGCCAAGCTGTTGGCTGTTAGGGACTTCCGCTATTAAAATCCGACCAATTTGATTAAAGGGCTGCTCCAAACAAAAAGGGTCATCTTGAAAAGATGTAAACGTGTTCTGCCCTGACAGCTACTCATCAAGGGAACTCATCTAGCTTTCATACTCCAAATGAAATACTTTCGAAGACCAACGCATGTCGGAAAAGCTTTAAATGAAACAATGCCTATTGATGATTTATCTTCATTTTTAGCTGTCATTCCAGGCGGTTAGATTGAGCAGCCGCTCATGTTCTAATCTTCTCCACCGATCACAAATTTAAATACTCAATTGGCCAAAACGTGTCATCTTGGAGATGTTTAAACAAGGCCAGATTCAACTGTAACGGAGAGCACACCGGGCAGCCTGGAGAGCTCACTTCGTACTGTTGTAGTGACATCGCGGATGTCACTGTGTGGTGCCGGCCCTAGAGAGGCACGGCGTGCGATGGATTGTCATCGCGGACACCCCGTAGGTGGGTGCAGTACCAGCCCTAGCGGGGGCTCGGTGAGCGCTGAGAGAGCGCAGTGGCACCACGCGTGACGTGCAGCGCTGACTCCTACAGGAGGGAGTGTGAGAGTGTCAGCCATGGGATGAGGTTACCCTAGGCCATGGCACTCTGGTTGACCCTGGAAGGCACGTGACCAGTAAGATCTACAGAGGGGCCCTAGGTGGGGGCTCGGGGGTGGTCACGTGTCAGGGTGATATCCTACGACAAGGGTCGAGAAACGACAAGAGGTTTCTCGAAAGTGGTCGTGGCCAAGGGCGGGGCCAGCCACGATCCGGGAGCATATAAACCGGGTTCACACAGAGACCGGGGTTCAGCGTTGTTGTTGTCACCTGAAGATCTACGTTCTACGTCCAAGAAGAAGCCACCAACACGTGGACGAGGACCCCCAGCGAGGGTCCTGTCCGTTGTAGCTGCTCCCAGTAACTAGCGTAGTTAGCCTGTTGGTCCACCACCATAGGTTATCTGGAAAAGGGGCAGTAACCCCTTTGTGTTAATGTGTCGGTGTGAATAAATACGTGTTGCCTCCAAAGAGTACGTCTGCGACTCAGTTGAATCTATCTCACTGTCACTGGGGCGGTGCCAAGAGGAGAGGACACCGACTTTTGGGCACAGCAACCGCTTCCCATGAGCAGGGGAGGCATTAGAATCGTGCCGAAAGACAGCGCCTTGTGTTTTTGTCGACACAGCCCCGCGTTCTGGTCGTCAGCCCTGTCAAGGCACGGAAAAGCGGGACGGGGCTTGGAAAATCACGCCAAAAAACCCCCCCGCGTTTAAAATTCCGCGAGGAAATTTTGCGCGATTTGATTCGGATTTTTTAACACGTAAATATTTCCCCAGACGAACGAGTGAAGTGATGCGGTCAATGTGGTGTGCATTTCTGGACGATGGATTTGAGGGGGCCCAGCGCTTCACTGTTTTTTTTTATAAACCCAGTGGATCAATTTGGAGCGACCCGACGTGGGGGAACGACAGAGCTGTGGGCAAGCCACACGGACGTGCTCGCGCGCGGAAAACTTCCTACGCGCAGGGCGCGGACGCCGAATCGTAATTCACCGAGCCGCCGACCCGCACCTGACGGGCAGCCGCGTGCAAAGTGATGGCGCGATCGCTTGTTTTGTTTATTGTTAATCCCGACGGTGAAGTTAACGTTGAACCCAGCAGCAGCAGTAAAAAAAATTTGCGCAGATAAAAGCGAGTGGCTTTATCGCGAGCGATATTTGGGGGACCGGGAGCCGTGTGGAGAACCACCCACGGAGAATGACTTTGTGGCTCGGCGCCGAAATAGTGCGGCTCGTGAACTCGGATCACCTCACCGCAGACGCTTTCGCCGTTCCCACCGAGCCGCGACACCAAAAGCGAGATGTTAATTACCTCGCTCGGAATACCGGAGGGTCGTGAGTTCGATCTCACACCTGACGCCTGTATATTTGGAGTTTGCGCGTCTCTCTCTCCCCGTGGTCACGTGGATTTTTCTCCGGGTCCTCCGGTTTTTCCCTCCACATTTAGAAACAACGTGCGTTTAGAGTATTTGGCTGCGATCAATTTCCACGTGATACGCCAATTCGTTAAGCTATCGTTTGTGACCAGGCCCCTTCTGATAAAGAGATCCTTAGCTCAATAACAGTGTAGTAGTTAGTTTAGTTTAAAACCGGATGCTTCGTGATCGTCAAAGCCATCTCCAAATAGCGAATATCACTTTGTTATGTAGCCTCTCACAGGAAGATTGTGTTAGGAAGCCACTGGAACTGTGCACTTTTAAATCTAGATTGAAAACTCATTTCTTTGGAACTGCTTTTTGTGTTTAGTTCGTTGTCCTTCCCACACACCTCCGGTTAGCACGGTTGGCTACTTAGGGTGCGCGAAAGAAGTTCAACATACATACGTACGTATATAACTACACCGGTCATGTAGAAGCTGTACGCCGTATTCATAACGCCAATAAAGTACTGTTTTAAAAATGCATATATTTGACCGCATGATTGTATATTGTTGCATACGACCAAGTCACCCGGAACGTGCCTGATTTAGTCGGGAACTACTTAAGAATTGAGTCTGGACAGTGCTTGGATGGGCGGTCGTCGTGCGTGCCAGGTTGCCATGGGTGGCTGTGAGGCCATGCCATGTGGTGGTGAGCAGAGGGCAACAAAGCTAAATCCATCGCCTTTACAAACACGCACTCACCAGGGTTGGTGTAGTACGGTCAAAAGAATGCCCAAGTGTCACACGCCGTGGGTGAGGCACCTCATCCAGCAGTGGACTGCCAACAGGGCTGCACACGTGTTGAATGTGGGTAATGGCGGAGAGCTTACGACGTCGGATGTTTCAACTGCACTGCTTTGCGACCCGGGGCCTCCGTTACAAAACAGGGAGTGCCGGTCCCAGTGCACCAGTGCCTGTGGGCTTAAGCGGAGGATTTCTCTGCAATTCCACGGTAAGGGAATTACAGCACAGGGGGGAGGAGGGGGGGGGGACATGGTTTATAACCACGAAACTTAACAAAAGCAGAATTTTGTCCTTTTATGGTTGCTAAACGTTCTGACTCGGCAGCTTGGCACGGAACATGAAGTCAGCCAATTTCACCGCCATGTCCAATTTGCCTACAATTGTCTCTGGTGGATCCGTGACTCCAGAACGGCACTTTCCTGACAAACGACAGCGCGCCCTGTGCACAACACCCACAACTGCAGGATATCTGGCCAAGCAACCCACAATATAAACGAAACACAATACCTTGCTGATCTCATATTGGAGCATAAACCATCACGCAAGCTCCGGTCATCCTCGCAGCGGCTTTTGCCTACCATCGAATAAAAACAGGCCACTGCATCGCGTGCTTTCAGATGCGCTTTTGCGGCCGTCTGGAATGCTCTTCCTTCCGAGCTGTGCACTTTTAAATAATCTGGATTGAAAACTAATTTCTTTCGAGCTGCTTTTTGTGTGTTTAGTTTGTTGTCCTTCCCCCGCACCTCCAATTAGCATGGTTGGCTACATATGGTGCGAAAGAAGTTCAACATACATGCATACAACGAATGGCAATCTCCTGCTCTTAGAGGACTTCGGCACACGCGGAGGCACCAGACAATGAATGGGTTACATGTGTTCGGCCAGCATGGCATAAGACAGTCGAGGATTGACTCGGCCTATTGCCTATTGCTCTACTGGGGTAAATAAAATTGGTGCCCGCTTTGTGGGAAATACAGAATCAAGTTCTTTATTTATCCTGGAGAAATCCGATGACCTATGAAACAGATGTCCAAATCGAGGTGGGTCAGAAAAGTTACAACAAAGAATATAAAAAAACGATAGGTCTGCAAAGTATCACTATAAATACATGAATTAACACCAAACTATTTTTTTTATTTTACTGCGTAAGGAACACGGAGCTATTTGTTATTTTTCAGAAGCGACCTGGCCACAAACGATAGCTCAATGAAGTGGCTTGTCACGTGCACATTTATAGCAGCCATATAATCTAAATGCATGAGTGCATGTCTGTTTGGAGAGGTTGGTTTCATGCCATAGGGACGTACAAATTTCCACTGCTGGCTTGGGGCCACCAACGGAAATGATCAGCACTGCCCTTTTGCTCCTGATTAACGTTTGACTTCAAGTCATGGTGAAGATGGGCCGGGCGGTTCAGAGGTCCGAGTACCGAGCTGGTACTGCTGAGACCCTGGGTTTGTATGCGGGCAGCTCTGCGATTCAACCAGGTTCTCAATTTCAGTGAGTCGATGGTCTCAGCCTGGATAACCGATGCCTGACCAAAAGAACCTGTCATGTGAAATTTGGTTCCCGCGCTCGATTTGGCTAAATTCTATCTCTAAAAAAATGAAAAAAATATCAATTTGCCTGTCAAGCGACAAACATTATTCTCTGAAAGCAGGGTGGGTGAGAAAATCACTGCCGCCCCTATTGCGTGGACCGGAGGTCAATTGAACGGCGCTCAAAAGTAGATAGTTCTGCAATATCCACATCTGTTGGCCGTTCCCTTCCACGAAAGGTCACAACGTCGTCTGGTCCGGGCGTCGGCGCAATAACTCACTGGGGGCAGCGGAAGGCGGCGGCTGGGTCGTGGTTGGCGGCACGACGAGCGTGGTGGGCACCTGGGGGAAGTTCCGCTCGTCGCGCGAGCTCACCGTCAGCGTGACCGACGGGTCCGGGTCCTGCCGCAGCAGCTGCTGCACCTGGGGCCAACGGTCGTGGTGGGGGGGGGGGGGGGGGCGCCGGAGAACCAGAGGCAAAGAAAATTACATTCGGATCTTATCGGCCCTTGTGTGCAAACGTACCCCCCCCAACCCAGCCCCCACCCCGCCCCGCGTCCAGGGACATCGTCTTAAATGAGGGGAGTGCAGAAACCTTTCCCCGGGCGAACAGCATTTTCACAAACCTATCGCGGGCAACCGCGCGTTAATACACACACGACGGCGTTATCCGACAGCGTTATCCAATGACGTTATCCAATATTGCAAACGTGGGTGTTAACCTGCCAAAAGTACTTTGAGGTCCGATCATGCAAAAAAATTTAACATTCGTGTCAACCGAGATGAAACAGGGCCCCCCCCCCCGCCCCCCTTAAAGTGAGATATGTGTCTGAGCGTGCTAAAATTACAAACGCAGCGCGACCGGGAAGGAAAACTATTCCCCCCCTCCAGGAGCCGATTAGCAGAGCTAAGATTCTCGCGGTGGCAGATCAATATCGCTTGCGGGCCCATTTCAAAGAGCCAGATCTCACGTGGCTGTCAGGCAGAATGAAAGAGTCACGGGGCCACAGGTCCCCGGACCCGCGTCTCAAACTCTTAAACACCGAGCTGTCGTTGCCGACTGGCAGGGAGCGGATGAAAAAAAAAAGTGTTCGGCGGAGGCGAGTGGATGGCTCGTGGGGGTTGCGAGACCCAGGTCAAAGCAATGAGTCTCTCAGTCTGAGCTGCAGAGTTGGGGTGAAAGGGCACCCTTGTGTGCAATGGCTTTGATGGTCTCAGCAAGGAAGCCGTGGTGGCGAGATGTTAACGACCTCGCCTGGTATACAGGAGGTTGTGGGTTCGATCCCGACCCTGATGCCTGTATATTTGGAGTTTCCATGTTCACCCCGTGGTCACGTGGATATTTCTCCGGGTCCTCCGGTTTTTCCCTCCACATTTAGAATCAACACGCGTTTAGAGTATTTGGCTGCGATACATTTCCGCATGATAGGCCACTTCGTTGAGCTATCATATGTGGCCAGGTCGCTTCTGAAAAAGAGCTACATAGCTCGGTGGGCTTTACCTCGTAAAAAAACACAAGGAGCAATGAATGTGCTCCAGTGTTTCCGTGCAGTATCGTGAGATTCAGTTGCCTCTCATGAGATGTATAAATAATGTGGATCAGAGCATAAAATAGCCAAGTTAGGTGCATCGCGTTGAACCGTTGACAAAAGTGGGCTTGGGCAGGACACGTCGCTCGGAGGGAAGACGGCCGATGGTCAAAGTGGCAGCGAAGTGGCAGCCGAAAAGTGAAAACACGCCCAAGGAGCACGACAGCCACGGAGATGAAGCGATGAAATTGGCTCATGTGCGGGTACTCAATGGATCGCTGCATCGCATGACAATGACAAATGGAGACAGCTTGGGGTGGCCTGCATCCAGCAGTGGATTTATGATTGCATTGCACTAAAAAAGCTGGTATGTTGATTTATTAATGTTTTATTGGTCACCCTATGGATTGACTGGTCATTTTCGAATGTAGGAAGTTGGAATTTCCACCACTGTCTCAACGCTGCCTGAATGCCGAATGCTCATAAGGTAGAGAGGGGTTGTCATGTTATCCGCTGTTGCGTTGTCGTTGTTGCCGATTTGGCAAATAAATTTGGGGGGGGAACACCATCCATCAGAGGGCTCCTGCAAAGGGTTATTCCACCACGGTCCAATTTATCGTTGCGTCATATACATTATTTATGCTGTTAAATTAATGAAAAACCTTCAAAATGTCTTTTTTTCCTACATCAAATTAAAAGGAAAATTTATTTTGGCCGCAGATAATACCCATATAAATGCAGAATGTAAGTATATACTTATCGGCCGGCAACACCTTGCCATTTAACTCAACACCCTGTTATGCATTTTATCATGAACTCATCAATTTATTGGACATTTACAGCTCTAGATATCAAATCCCGACCGTCGGACGCATGAAAGATGAGAGTGCTTTAAACCCACGATGAGTCTGCATTCGCGCCACGTTTCATGGCCCGAATGCCATCTCCTTCCCGTGCCAAAGCCTTCTCTATTACTGTACAATTATCACCACTAGATAGCTACACAGAGGCACAATTTGACTCAAGTTGGAACACTGTCCTCTCACGTGTGGTGCGGTGGAGCACTCGGTTGCGACCACAACCGGACTTGATAGAACGATCCAGCACTCATCTATTCACGCCAGTCACTCGCAGTGTCTTCAACCGCCACGACCATGGTTACACACATTCTCCATGAGCTTCGCTCATTGATTCCTCCACCATTGTTGAGCGCGTTTTATACCAGGCTGACCGTTTCGTCTCATCCACCACACTGTGTTCAACCACCACACTACAGGTGATAACAAAAAGATCCCCCATATAGCCTTAACAGACTGTAGGGGCAAGTGCTGTTAGCGAGCACCTATGAAGGCCGTAACGGTACACGAGGGGGTGGGTGGCCAGCACCACGCCCGACCGCCTTTGTCTCCCTAGTGGCAATGTTGACACACTGCACCAGGTACTCATTTGAGGCTGAGTCGACCTAGGGGAGGCCCGGGGCCGGTTCAGATAATCGTCACTGGTGTTGGCCGTGAGCGGGAATCGAACCCGGGTCGCCAGGTTCATAGCGCAGCGCGCTAACCGCTAAACTATCGCTGTGATAACATTCACTCACCCACTCAGTCACTCGCTCACCCACTCACTCACCCACTCACTCACTCACCACACTGCAGGCCATAACAACACTGACTTATTCACCCACTCACTCACCCACCCACTCACTTACCACACTGCAGGTCACAACACTTCTCTTTCTGAAGCTTCCCTCGCACCTTCGAATTCCCTCCGATCGTCTCTTATAACCATGCTCAATTCAAGACGCTTATTTCCTCTTGTCCATTAAACCTTCAGGAGTTCTATTTGTTGCTGGCCACGTGGTGTTGTGGAACCTGTGCTCCAGCAAACGTGATTAAAAAATTAAATAAATTCTCACCTTGTCGGCCGTTTGGCCCAGAACAGGTTCCCCATTCACGGCCAGGATGCGGTCTCCCACCTTCAGCCGCCCACCCTGTGTGTGGGACGCGACACAAACACGGCCACGAGGTCATCGCCATCATCCTCACCACCACCACCAGCACCATCGCGGCCTTGATCTAGCACCTGTAGGACGCGTCACTGCGGAGGGGCCGTCAGCCGGAGGAGGGGGAGAAACGAGCCCGAGAGGACGTCCACCGCGAACGAGACGGAGCGAGAAAAGAAGCGGGATGGATTGTTGCGTCGCACAGCCGAAAGTAAATTTTACCACGCCTCCGATTGGCACGGTTGGCTACGTATGGTGCGGAAGAAGTCCAACACGCGTACACACATCCAGGAGAGCGAAGCGTGGTGATGGCTTGCGGAGGGGGGCCACATGTTCGGCAGTGTGTAGACGACGGCTGATGATGCCATTATTGCGAGTGGTGTTTTTTTTTATTTCCATCAAGACTGGAATGGGTGGCTTTTAACTCAGGATGGTCGTACCGATAGCAATTAGAGGCTCCACATACTGGAGCACACTTCGGGCGTACGGGGATAATTGAAGGCTGATCCTAATGGAAATGGATCTATGCTCGCAGGGATAAGTGGTACGGTCGCGCGACTCTGGATAATGCAGCTTCAACGAGGGGTGGCGGCAGACGTGGCCCAGCGGTAACACAAAAAACCCAATGCTGCTATTCGTGAACAACACCGTGGCCCTGAGAGGAAGAGTATATAATAGGGGATAATCTTAGGCAATGGCACTTCTTCACGGCACACAGAGAGGCCAGAGAGGTAGAGTGGATCAAAGTTGGAGACGGCACTTTGACCATATACCACGGCGCCTGAAAAAAAGTGAATTATAAAAATTCCTCCCGACTAACGGCGGTAGAGTGTTCTGCAGAGGCTCGAATTCAACGGGCTGCCCCGGTTAGTGCTGGACTAACCACAGGATGCGTGCTATCCACGTTCGAGATGCCGTGATGTCCTTCGAAGAAGTGTAGGCCATCGTGTGCCGGCGTAAAGGCTCCAAATTTGCAAAATTTTTAAAATCACTCGCAAATTAGTCACTTGGGAAGCACGGGGAAATTGCCGGCCACCCCCCGCCCCCTCCCCTACTGTGAAAAACGATCTGGGCTCTCGCTGAATGAGTCTTGAGACTCATTGAGCATTTCCTGGAAAAAACGAGCGTGTATGTACGTATGTATGTGAAACTTCACTCGCACCGTACGTAGCCAACCGTGCTAATCGGATGGTGCTTGAGAGCCTGGTTAATGCTTGGATGGGGGACCACAGGCCTTGCGAGGGCGGTGGAGGGGCGGGGGTGGGTGGAGGGCTACGTGGCAGACAGCGAAGCAAAATCCAAGGTTGTATTATACTGTACTTCTATGCCTTCACCACCAACCCACACTGACCATGGGAGCACAGTCACTGAAGTGGGCAGATGTGCGGACCCGAAGTGAGAAAACGGAATCGGATCGGCGAAGACATCTTTTGGGAAACGATTAAGACGACTGGGGCAACCAAAGTGGAACGACGAACCGGAGAGCGAGGACGCAGGCGCGGAGCGCTCCGGCACGCGTGGTGGGGCGATGAGCTACACGAGCGGATGTTGGACGGCGCGGAAGCATGAGACACGCACGGCATGTGGTTGTCACTTGGAATGAGTCAGACGGTGCGATAGGAAGGTGAAGAGGTGGAGAATGGCTCCAAGCAAGGTGTGTATTGGGAAGTGGAATGATAACGGAGGAGGTGGCATATGCGGGGACCATATCTAAGCACAATTACGATAAAGATTCTGCCGGGGAGAAAGGAAGTGATGGAAATCACCTGTCAATGGGCACCGACTCAGCTCAGACGATGTGACATGAGACATATTTCAGAACAATTGTATTTAGTGGGCCTGAGTGTGTAATCAACGTAGGCCACGTTGCACAACAGTTTACAGTTCGATTCCCCCGGCAGGGAATTGGCAAAGCATATCGTCTGTCTATAAAAGTGTACGTTAAAGATCGCGTGACATCATCAGTCACGAGGGCAGGCCACTGAGTATTCGTCTGTTTGCAGCTTGACGGATCACTTTTGTGAAGCACACTACTGCGTAATGACGTTGATAGAACGAATGATTAACATGAAGGCAAAATAACTGTCAGTAAAGGGGTGAAACGATTACACAAAGTGGCCGGAGAAGGAAAAGTGTTTATGCTGTATTAGAATGCCACCGGAAAACTCATTTCTTTAGAACTGCGTTTAGTTTTTGTCCTTCCCCCCCCCCCTGCACCCACGATTATCACGGTTGGCTACGTACGGCGCTAAACAAGTTCAACGAAACACACATACATACGACTGCGTAGATACAGTGCTATATAGTAAGAGGTATGGTGGCGGTTAGCACACTGTAGTATGAACCCATCAAACTGAATTTGATTCCGGGGCATGGCAGGCTAACACCATTGGCGATTTCCTTCTGGACATCTTTGAAAAAGAGCTTAAGAGCTTATCAGTTTCCTCCAGTCTAAATAAATATTCAGATTTTGGGAGATATCTGAACTGGCCCTGGGTGCACCCTTCACCAACCCGCACTGACCATTGTGGTGAAGCATGGTTAAAAAAAAAATAAGATTTTTTTTTTCTTATAAAACCTGTACATCTCTCTGGCGGGGCTGTCCCCGCGTTTCAGTTTTAGCTCCTCGGAGAAGCTTCCAGAACGTGGAATGAAACGTCGGACATCACGCGAAACAGCACACGGGGAGGGGTAGGGGACAGTAGCCTGTAAACACATGGGAGAGCGAGCGTGAAGCGGTCGGGAGTGTTTTGATATAATCCTACGAGAAATCTGATTGACGTCTTGCTGTGTCGGGCACTGCGGTGGCGAGACGTTAACTACCTCGCCTGGTATACAGGAGGCTGTGGGTTCGATCCCGGCTCTGCCGCCTGTATATTTGGAGTTTGCGTGTCTCTCTCCCCGTGGTTTCGTGGATTTTTTCTCCAGGTCCCCTGGCTTTTCCTTCCACATTTAGAAACAACATGCGCTTAACAGTATTTAGCTGAATATACATTTCCACGTGATAAGCCACTTCGTTGACCTATGATTCGTGGACAGGTCGCTTATGAAAAAGACAAATATAGCTCAGGGGGGCCTTACCTGGTAAAATAAAAATAGTTTAGTTTTTGTTTAGTGCCGTATCAGCTGACCTTTGCAGCAGCTCCGTTCTGCTCGAGTCTTTTCACTGACAATCCCTCAGTCGGTCCCTCTTGGCTCAGAGAGACACCGATGCCTCCACTCTCCTCCTGCAGCAAGGGCGCAGCAAATTGTTTACAACAGCACGATAACAACAATAGCCACCACTCAGTGACAGTGACGTCACCCGCAGCTCTTGTGTGTCAGCCTAGGTGAACTTTTGAGGCTACGTGAAGTGTTTCCAAGGCTCGCCGGAAAGAGGTTATGGGACAGACCCAGGAGATGTCAGGCAGATGCAGCACCACCTTTGATTCCCACTGTGCCAAGCTGGTTGCCGGAGAGCGGCTGCCACCAACTGCCCAGTGGTGTATATAATAAAAGAAAAAAAAATATCCCCCCTATAATCTCCTTTAAAGACTGCAGGGGCAAGTGCTGTTAGCGAGCACCTATGAAGGCCGGAACGGCACACGAGGGGGTGGGTGGCCGGCACCACGCCTGACCGCCTTTGTCTCCCCAGTGGCGATGTTTACACACTGCACCAGGTACTCATTTGAGGCTGAGTCGACCTAGGGGAGGCCCGGGACCGGTTCTGATAACCGTCACTGGTGTTGGCCGTGAGCGGGAATCGACTCGGGTCGCCGGGTTCGTAGCGCAGCGTAGCGCTAACCGCTGCACCACCACTCCCCACAATACACACACCAACACGTGCACACACTGACAAAGATCCTCCGTATAGCCTTAGGGGCAAGTGCTGGTGGAGAGCACCTATGAAGGCCAGCACGGCACATGAAGGGGTGGATGGCCAGCACACACACGCATTAATCGTGCATAAACATTTTCAACTTTGGGTGGATAGAATAAAAATGTTTTACTCAATAACCATGCACATCACCGATGCGATTAGCGACATTGACGAAAGCTGCACACTCACCTTAGTCACAATGACATCGTGCACGTCTGGGAAGGAGGAGAAGTCCCCTTTGGGTCGAAGGGGTGCATGGTCTGAGGAGGCTGCTGAGCTGTGGCTCTGATAAGAGAGAGGGAAAGGAAATGCCACGGGCGAGAGAGATGGTGACGCCAGGCGATTGTAGCCCAACACATAGCAACTGAGAGAGAGAGAGAGAAAGCTCAGTTGCAATTACTCCTGTTTGATAATACTTCTCTTGTCCGTATGCATCTGTGCAGATAGTTTTTTTTTTGCAGTTAGGCCATAGTAACCACATACCGCTCGTATCAATGTGGATAAGAGGAGCGGCGACCCACTACTCTGTAGAGTAACATTCGTAGAAACGCTTGTTACAAAATAGAGGTACTGCAGGTAAGTCGTTTTCAGTTCTAAAGGCATAGTTTAACAAGACAACACTTGCCACCATCCTTCAAACCCATTGGTGAAAAAGAGTCAAGTTTTTGTTTACATTATAATGTAATGTTTATGCGAGATTTGGGGGCTTATGGGACCCCAGGGTCCCGCCATAAGTATAATTTATTATCCACTCAATTGTCTGTTCATAAGTAGAGGAGCTCTCGTCCGTTCCTCCTTTAAAGGAGAGGGACGATGCGGGTCAACGGTTTGGGATTCGTGGCCGCCCCACTCAAACGGCGCCGAATCTTTTATGTGCCATTTGCGCATCAGCTGACCGCATCGGCCGATTGGGTTCATGGTCGACTTCCCGGTTTCAACCTTCCACGCCGCCAATAGTCGACCGACTTCAATGAGGGCGATATCGGCAAGTAAAATAAAGACCGATTGATTGGTCATCATCATCCATCCATCATCATCATCCAGTTCAGTGGATCTAAACCTCTGGTCCAAGGAACCCCCTGGTGCTCTGCAAGGCTGCGAGGGAGGCGGTCTGTGGAACTGTTGCAGATAACATTTGTTTTCACAAAACACTGGATTTATCTTGTTGCGTGAAAGTTCACCAACACCTACAGTGAGGGAAAAAAGTATTTTATCCCCTGCTGATTTTGTACGTTTGCCCACTGACCTAAGAAATGATCAGTCTATAACTTTAATGGTAGGTTTATTTGAACAGTGAGAGAGAATAACACCAAAAAATCCACAAAAACGCATGTCAAAAATGTTATAAATTGATTTGCATTTTAATGAGGGAAATATGTATTTGGCCCCCTCTCAATCAGAAAGATTTCTGGCTCCCAGGTGTCTTTTATACAGGTAATGAGCTGAGATTAGGAGCACACTCCTAAAGGGAGTGCTCCTAATCTCAGCTTGTTACCTGTATAAAAGACACCTGTCCACAGAAGCAATCAATCAATCAGATTCCAAACTCTCCACCATGGCCAAGACCAAAGAGCTCTCCAAGGATGTCAGGGACAAGATTGTAGACCTACACAAGGCTGGAATGGGCTACAAGACCATTGCCAAGCAGCTTGGTGAGAAGGTGACAACAGTTGGTGCGATTATTCGAAAATGGAAGAAACACAAAAGAACTGTCAATCTCCCTCGGCCTGGGGCTCCATGCAAGATCTCACCTCGTGGAGTTGCAATGATCATGAGAACAGTGAGGAATAAGCCCAGAACTACACGAGAGGATCTTGTCAATGATCTCAAGGCAGCTGGGACCATAGTCACCAAGAAAACAATTGGTAACACACTACGCCGTGAAGGACTGAAATCCTGCAGCACCCGGAAGGTCCCCCTGCTCAAGAAAGCACATATACATGCCCGTCTGAAGTTTGCCAATGAACATCTAAATGATTCAGAGGACAACTGGGTGAAAGTGTTGTGGTCAGATGAGACCACAATGGAGCTCTTTAGCATCAACTCAACTCGCCGTGTTTGGAGGAGGAGGAATGCAGCCTATGACCCCAAGAACACCATCCCCACCGTCAAACATGGAGGTGGAAACATTATGCTTTGGGGGTGTTTTTCTGCTAAGGGGACGGGACAACTTCACCGTATCAAAGGGACGATGGACGGGGCCATGTACCGTCAAATCTTGGGTGAGAACCTCCTTTCCTCAGCCAGGGCATTGAAAATGGGTCGTGGATGGGTATTCCAGCATGACAATGACCCAAAACACACGGCCAAGGCAACAAAGGAGTGGCTCAAGAAGAAGCACATTAAGGTCCTGGAGTGGCCTAGCCAGTCTCCAGACCTTAATCTCATAGAAAATCTGTGGAGGGAGCTGAAGGTTTGAGTTGTCAAACGTCAGCCTCGAAACCTTAATGACTTGGAGAAGATATGCAAAGAGAAGTGGGACAAAATCCCTCCTGAGATGTGTGCAAACCTGGTGGCCAACTACAAGAAACGTCTGACTTCTGTGATTGCCAACAAGGGTTATGCCACCAAGTACTAAGTCATGTTTTGCAGAGGGGTCAAATACTTATTTCCCTCATTAAAATTCAAATCAATTTATAACATTATTGACATGCGTTTTTCTGGATTTTTTTGTTGTTATTCTGTCTCTCACTGTTCAAATAAACCTACCATTAAAATTATAGAGTGATCATTTCTTTGTCAGTGGGCAAATGTACAAAATCAGCAGCGGATCAAATACTTTTTTCCCTCACTGTACCTAATGAGAGTTGTCAATGATCCACGGGTTCAGCATGGTTAGGAATCCATAATAGTTTTTTTGGGTTAGATCACGTTCATAGAAATGTGTAGTTGAACCCGCCACCACCCGACACAAGCAATTAGTAAGGTTTGTAACGTAAACAAAACATGCCAATGTTACTATTTGAGCACACCGGTGTGATGGAGAGGAAACCCACAACATTTACAATTCGAGTACGACGTTACGCCAATATTATGGATGTTGGTTGCGAAAGCCTACATGTTAAACTGATGGTTAGGAATCACTGGTTATTTGATTTGTTCATCCACTGCTGGATGAAGGCCTCCCCGCCCCCGTGCCGTCACAACCACCCCTGCAATCCCCATTAATGTCAACATACAAAGGTGATTTTTCATGAAGATGCTCTAAGAATCAAAATTTGAATTCCTATGCGAGTTATACACGGCACTATTTAATTAGTAATCCTGGAGAGTGGCGATGTCGCGGTTTACAAACTGTGCTCCGAAACCGCTGATACAAGTTTCGGTTCCCTGACCACGACTAACATCGTTCGCAAACGGTGGATGAACCGGTCAAGTAAGCAGCCCACCGCCCATCCACCCCCTCCGTCAGCAACCCACACCGACCATCAGGTGGGGGGCAAAGCACAGCCTAACAACCCGCACAACCGCCACGGCATCATCGACACGCCATGTACGTATGCATGTTGAACTTCTTTCGCACCGTACGGAGCCAACCGTGCTAATCAGAGGTGCCATCATCCAGCAGATGATTGAGTAGAGGCTGTATTCCACCCCACCCCCGCCCCACCCCCCTACTATAAGTCAGCCTGTGGATGAGCATCAGATACCGGTTAAAAAAGCGACAGTGGTGCGAGACTAAGCCGCTGACCTATTTAAAGGGGAGCGAGCACGCATGTGCAACAGAGCAACAGAGCGAGCGAGCGAGCGAGCAAAAATAAATGTCAGGGTCATCGTTCAAAACGCCTGCATTTAGTGTGGGCGGGTGGTGGGGGGCACAGGGGAGAGGGGAGGGGGTGTGCGCGGGGGGAGACCGGGCACGAGAACGACCGAGTGCAATCCGGAGCAATCTCGAGGAAAACCTCACCTCGAGCGATCTCGCCCCGGAGTGAGCGCTGGACGGGGCGGAGATGGAGATGGGAAGGGGGCTCCGGATGGGAGGCACGGCCATCTGGTTGAGGGCATCCTTGTTCCTGCAGCAGGAGGGCGCGAGGACGTGAGCGCACATCGTCGACAGGGGAGGTTTTTTTCCACCCGCGCTCTTTCCCCCGCTCCAGCTCGGACAGGAGTCGCGTGAATAATAGATGCACATCTGATTTATTGGGTTTCGGTGAAGAAAAAAAAAGAAGCGGCTCCAGGCTCCGGCGAGTAACGACGGACGGACGGGCTCCCAGGACGAGAGCGAGTTGGGGCGTTGTGCAAGCCGCTGGGATGTCCGTTGCATGTGGGGGGGGGGGGGGGGGTTTGCAAAGGCAAATTTGTGGTGCTCGGTTGCTTTGTGTACTGTACGCGGGCTGTGTTACAACGGCCATCGCGTGCTTTCGAGAGCGCAGGTTCAGCTGTCACGGGTCATTTTTTGCAGAAACACTTGGGTGGCATGGCGCGCGTACGCTCGCGTAAGCAAACGCCACGAGGCCTCGGATTTTATTCACACAGCGTGGTTTCTGTTCGCTAATGAGAGCCAATTCGGATTACGAACGCACGTGTCTTACGCACGTGAGAACCCTGTAGGAAAACACAGGTGGCTACAACATGGCTCTACAGCAACCGATCCTGGAACGTATCTGCGCAGAAACTTGTCAGCGTTATCACCTCACCTGTGCGGGTGTTCTCCTGGTACGCCGGTTTGCTACCACGTGCCGAGCACACGGTACACAGACGTGGCCAAACATCTCATTGTAGGACGCTCCGACAGATTCAGCCTCGGGGACTTTTGGTGAGGCTTTCCTCGATAAATAAAAACAACTTGGATTTATGTAGTATCTAAAAAATCAAACATCGTAAAATGCTACAATTACTGTTGCAAGGGCCATTTCTTCCGGCTCCGTTCCGATGGCACACCAAGGCTCCCGCCAAGGCCTTGTGGGAAAGCGTGTGGCTTAGTTCGGGGCCAGCTACGAGAATACGTCTTCACAAACAGCGGCGCTATTACGCCTCTCTCAATAAAATTAACGCCGAGCCGCTTGTGCGTTCCGAGATTCAGCGGTGAACGGGACCCCCCCCCCCCACTGCCCGGCCCCCGCCCCCACCCTGCAACTCGTAGGCGTCTCGGAACGGGAAAGGATTAAGTTGTACGCAGCAGCCTAACAACGCATTCAGTCGTTGAACACAACTGCGTGACGCGCGCACACGGCCAAGTTTGTCTGAACAGGTGGCTTTCGGTCGCACGCACGCACACACGCTCTCGCACAATTGCTCACATGCGGACTGAAATAAATTGACGCATGAAAAACGTTGCATTTTTTTTTTTACAATATGATTGTGGGCCGTGCGCACGCATATTCCGCCGTGTGTAGCCTTAACTGACTGCTGGGGTAAGTACCGTTAGCTAGCACCTATGAAGGCCGGCACGGCATTCAAGGGGGGTGACCAGCACCACACACGGCCGCCTACACACTGCACCAGGTACTCATTTGAGGCTAAGTCGACCCAGGATGAGTTTAGATAATTGTCACTGGTGTTGGCCGTGAGTGGGAATCAAACTCAGGTCCCAGGGTCCATAGCGCAGCGAGCGAACCACTACACTACCGTCCCCCCCCCCCCCACACATACGTATGCATACGTGCACGCACGCACAGCATGGGAAGCTGATTTCAATTTCGTGACAGAACGGTCGGTGGTTGCAGGAAAGCCGTGAATACGAGCACAAGCGAACGGACAAAGGAACGAACGCATGGCGTTTGTGTGAGGCGGTTCTGGGAGGGCGAGGCGGCAAGCACGGAGGAGGAGGGAGGTCATATCTTGCATCCATTTCTTGCCGCCAACCTTCTGTGCGATGGCAAACCAGGAAGCGAGCAGGCGCCTTGGAAATTGAAAATTGACCATGGAGAAACGCAACGGCTCAATCTCTCTCTCTCTCACCCCCCGCTGTCACTCGAACCCCAGCACTATGAGTAAAAGCAAATATAAGTAGACCTCCGTTCTGTCTCACAAATATAAACGAAATCATGTTTTTGGTGAAATGAAGTGGGATTTGTTTTAACAAGCACCCTCTGGACCGGTTTCCAACTTTCTGGGTCTCAATGGCAGTCGGGTTTGCAAAAATGTTTTTTTTGAGTTTCCAGATGTCACTTATAAGAGCACTCCATCTAAATTATGGGGCCCTGTTAATTGCAAAGAGGCAAAATTGTATGCAAACTACCTGCACCCAACTATTTCACCCGACTGCAAACATCATCCCCCAGACAAAGCAAAAAAAACCGCGGTATTTTATTTAATTAGCAGCTAGCGTGCAGACAGCTCCAGGGAATGGGCTGCGCATGATTGACGGTGTCAGAAAAATGACAGCTGCTTTAACATCTAAAAAAAAAAGCCCCCATTGTGAGCGCGTCGATTCGGGTGGAACCGACAATATAAAATCGCTAAGGAGACACGTAGACACTTTCACAAAAGCTGGGCTTTGTTTTTCTTTCCCCCTCTCTAAATTAACGAGGCTGTCAAATTTGCAGACCCCGCAGCTCTTTCCTCGTGCCTTGCTGCTTGTGCGCCGACACAAAGCACTCGGGCTCCTTCACACCGCGAGCGTGGCCCGTAATTTTACACGCTAATTACACGCGACGCCGCACGGCCACGGTAACGCGCACACGATTCCACGCGCAGCACCAGCGACCTCGGTGGACGCTCGCACGCGAAGGTACGTACCCGCCCGCGCAGCAGAACGTGGAGAGCAGAAACATTTCCGATCGGATTCTGAAACGTAGATTTGTTTTTTTTATTGCTTGCTTGCTACGAGGAACCCCGCTCCTCCTTCTCAAAAATGGAGCGTCTTCATTTTTACTCGTTTGGTTTATTTCGCAGGAAATTAAAAACCGACGGCAAAAATTACACGAAATACATGCCCTGATATTAACGTGGCAGGCCCGAGAATGATCCTTGAATACGGTATAAACCGCACGATTGCCGGCGCCAGTCAGGCTTCCCCGCCGTTCACCGACGATGGCACGATTTGCGTGTTTTTTTTTTTCCCCCCCCCCGCTATCAGATGCCGGCGAGCCAAAGGCTGCTCCGCTCAGACGCACGCGGGTTTTTTTTTGCCTGCAGGGGAAGAGCGCAGCGCGAAGACAACCGGCTTCCAAAGCGCCACTCGATAAATTAAATCTCAAAGAGTGCTGCTCGTCTGAGCACACCCTTCCCGGGGAGCGGGTGACGTCAAGCCGAGATGATATGATAATGCACTTTCCCCCCCCCCCCCCCAGCAGCTCTAACGCACGTAAATATTAAGGGAGGATTAACCCGTTTCTCTGTGTGCGGTGGGTTACGGCGGCTGTTGGTGCGGGCCAGTTTTCGCGTGTACGCGGGTGACCCTGTCGTCAGATCTTTTATAAACGAGTTCACAATTTTAAGCGTAAACCGAACATGCGCGTCCTCATTGAAGACGGGCTCTCCAGATGGGCTGTAATGAGTTTCCTTTTTTTCTCCCAGCTCCAATATTGAAATTTAATTTAGAAAATAACTGCAGATGTTTTGTTGTTTACAAGTGTGCGCGCGTGTGTGCGTGTGTGCGCGTGTGCGCGTGTGTGCATGTGTGTGTGGCTGTGCGTGAACGCATAATTGCACATAGTGTCTCTTGGGCAGCACCTCGAAAACTCAACATCACAGATGGCACGGTGACAACTTGACACCGCAACTTCACATTCCATCGCGTCAACGGCACGTCGCACAGATGGTTATTTTATGTCCGGCTCGCACCAGATCCATTTTTAGAACCGCAAATCCGTTGCAACTGCTAATCACACTTTCTTAAGATTGTGCTACAGCACTGAGAGTAAAGAGACACAGAAGATTTTGATTTAAAGCTTTCGTGACTGCAGTAATTAATATTCTTAGTTCTTTCGGTAAAGTCACGTTGAAGGGAAACAACAAAATAATAATATATATATAAAACAATAAAAATTCTTACGACGTTTCGACCATAACACAAACGGTCGTCTCCAGGTGTGTCGGTTTGCATAAATTTATTTATTTTTAAACGGTGTATTTAGTTAAATCGCTGCGTGTGGCGCTAACGGGTTTTTTATAAATAAATAAATGCACCGTTTTAAAATAAATAAATTTATGCAAACCGACACACCTGAAGACGACCGTTTGTGTTATGGTCGAAACGTCGTGAGAATTTTTATTGGTTTATATATATTTTATTATTTTGTTGTTTCCCTTCAACGTGACTTTACCGAAAGAACTAAGAATATGAGACACAGAAGATATTGCAATCTGCCACTGTCTTATACAGACGAGAGAGAGAAACCTCCGAGAGGAAAGCATCAGTGTTTCCTCTTTAAGTCTGATAAACACCGGGCTGGAGAGGCACCCAGCTGTCTGCTTCCGGCACGCACAGCAGGCGAAATCCAATTTTGTTTTTCGTTTTTCGGATAGGCAGTAGAAGATGTGGCAGAGGCGGAAAAAGGAGGCGGTGGCGGCTTGCACAATTTGAAAGCCACCAACCTAGGATCGTGGGAGGAGGGCAGATGGCGAGATGTTAATTACCTGGCCTGGTATACAGGAGGTTGTGGGTTCGATCCTGGACCTGTCTGTATATTTGGAGTTTGCATGTTCTAGAATCACCATCAGGCGTTTCGAGTATTTGGCTGCTATACATTTCCACGTGATAAGCCACTTCGTTGAGCTATCGTTTGTGGCCAGGTTGCTACGTAGCTCAGTGGGCCTTACCTGCTAGAATAACATTCGTTTAAATAGTTTCACATGCTTGGAATAGACACCGTGAGAGGGAACGTGGAACTCGCGAGTCAGGGAACACACATCAGTCGAAGAGATTGCGCCCACCGTTAAGAGAAGGGAAAGCGAGCTGCGCGAGGACTCGTCATGGCTGGGAGGGGATGCCCGTTACTGATCGAAACTTAACGGCGGAACAGAAGCTGAAAGGGGGGGGTACCGCGTGACGAGAGCACATCCGCCGCGGAGATGGAGCAGATGAAAAAATCGGCCAGTGCGCAGGTTCTAGATGGCCTGTTGCATTGCGACAATTGTGAGGCATGGTGGTGGTGGCTTTGGGGAAGCCTTCATCCACCAGTGGATTGATGCGTGATATGTCGATGAGTATGATGATTTCGTTTCGATTTAAAGCTTTCGTGACTGCAGGGATTCATCTTCTTGGTTCTTTCGGTAAAGTCACGTAGAAGGGAAACAATAAAATAATAAAAATAAAACATAATAAAATGAAATTCTCACGACGTTTTGGCCACAACACAAGTAGCCTTCTTCAGGTGAAGAAACAGGACTGTCCAGAAGACAGCGCTAGAGTGAACACTGCCAAGCATGGACAACGTCTTTTAAGCTGTGTGGGTAGAATTAACATGTGAATTAGCGTGTTACCCAGCCCTATGTCTTATTCTATCAACCCTACTGTATACCACACTGCTGTGGTCTGGCCGCAGAAGGCTTCAACGAGAACTGTTTGACTTGATCAATTAATGCTGTTGAGTCAGAAATGATTTTGATGGTTTTAGTAACCAGGCTGTTGGTGGGGTCTCTTCTTATTTTTGTATAGCTGCCATCGTTGAGTAGTTCCTGAATTTTGTTGTTATATTCTATTTTGTCCATGATGACAGTGGCATTGCCCTTGTCAGCTGAGAGGATGACAATGTCATCTCTCTTTTTTAATTGAGATAATTCAAAGCGCGCATCTTTGCTGATGTTGCTAGATGGCATCTTAGCGTTTTTGAGGTTTGCAGCGATTTCAGATCTTGCTACGTCTGCAGCGATGTGACCCAGGCCCTTGAGTGCCACGTCGACATGGGCAATTATATCATTAACTGGTATGTGTCTAGGTGTGACTGCAAAGTTTAGCCCTTTAGCTAAAACGGCTTTCAGACCATCAGAAATAGAACTGTTACCGCGATTAATTACGACTTAGTTAACGTCTAGCTATTCTGTGTGTGGGTCCGATTTCTTGTTGGAAAGGCGGTTGAATTTGGAAATCAAATTGTCCTTACATTTGGTTGACATAGTGGCAGCTGAAGAGGCAGTCATATTGTCTACATGTTCCCAATCCGATGTAGACATTGTTGCCGTCAATGATAAGTGTCATTTGTAGAGTATCTTGTCTAACTGATCTAGTTCAGTGCGCGTAAGTCTGACATATCTCGGACCGCATCCGTGAACATAAAGCAGACTTGAAACATAGTAGGACGAACTCTTCAGCCGTGGCAGATCACTGTTATAATTTAGTGGGCTCACATGACATTGACTTCTCCAAGACGGAGGTTCTCTGCAAGCCATCCGGCTACCATGAGAGATTCGTTCATGAGGCCATCCACATATACAAACACAGAGACAATTTCAACCGAGAAGATGGATTCTGGCTTAGTAACCATTGGAAAGATATTATAAACCATGATTGTATTTTACGCTGACCTTCAGACCGCAGTCCATTCGCTGGCACTGCCTCTTCATACCTTTCACACGACGGTCAATGGTATGGTTTAAAGCATGTGGTATAATAATAAATAGTATAACATTGTAATGTTTAACATAATTCATAAGGCAATATATAATATCGTAATTGTATAGTGAATATACAGCAGTGTGGCATACAGTAGGGTTGATAGAATAAGACAGTGTAATATAACAAGTCTAATATTTTATAGTCTAAAGTATAGGGTAGTGTATAGTAACGCATTGTATAATTCAAAGGTGGAATTTGTCTATGGATATGATATTATACCATGTAGTTTAGATTGGAAGTTATAATATTGTACTGTATAGTAGTCCAGTTTACAGCATAGTTACAACGCAACACAGGACAGAGCAGCGCACCTTGGCTGCTCTTTAACCTTCCTTTCCTGTGTGCCCAGCCGCCACCCTCCTCCAATCCGGTGGTGGTGCTGGGTAACATGCTAATTCACATGTAAATCCCACCCACACGGCTTAAAAGACGTTGTCCATACTTGGCAGTGTTCACTCAAGCGCTGTCTTCTGGACAGTCCTGTTTCTTCACCTGAATAAGGCTACTTGTGTTGTGGCCGAAACGTCGTGAGAATTTCATTTTATTATGTTTTATTTTTATTATTTTATTTCCATTCTACGTGACTTTACCTAAAGAACCAAGAAGAGTATGATGATGATGATGACAGGAAGGATAAGCCTCCTGTAGGGCAGTAGTTCCACAGCGCGGCTACTTCTCACTTCTCCGCCAGCCACCAACCACTACACCGTGACATTTAGATTTTCCAATATATATTCATACATGTATTCACAATTCTGTCATAAATATTTAATGAAGCCTCTAATTTTACCCAAAAAAGCTTCTATTCTGAAAGTTCAAACCGAATTCATGCCTATTCTTTCCAAAAAAGATGTAATTTTATTTTTAATTAAGCCGAATATAATGCCATGCGAGATATCAGGCAGTGTAGCTTATGTCGGTGGTTTCCAAATGTGCGATTCTCAGACCTCTGGTGGTTTCGATTACATGGTGGGCCAGCGAATATTGAGGGATGACTTGGTCCGTCGGCCCAGGAAGGTTGGAAACCACTGGTGTAGGTGTGACGTCTGGTGGCAAGATGTTAACTATCTGGCGTAGTATACAGGAGGTTGTGGGTTCGATCCCAACCCTGATGCCTGTATATTTGGAGTTTGCATGTTCTCCCCGTGACCAATTGCATTTTATTCTGGGTCCTCATTTAGAATCAACGTGTGTTTAGTAGTATTTGGCTGCTATAAATGTCCACGTGGTAAGCCATTTCGTTGCGCTATCATTCGTGATAGCCAGGTCGCTTCTGAAAAAGAGCTGTGTGCAGCTCAGTTAGCGGCGGATGTTTGGGGAGTCAATGTGAAAACAGACGGAAGCAATGGAGACCTCAGGGAAGGGAGGAGTCAATGGATTTCCTGTTGCATATCAGTCAGTTATATTTTTAAAATCTAAATGTAGCCATCACACAAAAACACACACATACATTCAACAACAAAAATCGACACCCCCCCCCCATATAGAATGCTGTTGGCAAGCACGTATGAATGCCGGCATGACATGCGAGCGATTGGCGTGGTCAACACCGGCGTCTAGACCCCCTTTGTCTCCCCAGTACTCATTTAAGGCCGAGTCGACCTAGGAGAGGCCCAGCACCAGTTATTACGTGACTCGCCACTGATGCTCACCATTGGCAGGAATCGAACTTGAGTTTCCGGGTTCATATATATGTATAACACGTTTTCGCTCCCATGCTGTTCTTCCATTTTGGAACACTTTTCACACAATGAGGGGGCCCGCGCCGCTGTAACGCGGGGCGCGCGCCATTACAACGTGGTTTTTAAACGGTCAACGACGAACTACTTCCTTGGGCTCCGCGGCCGAGCGGTACAGTGATTGAGTATGTGGAATGGTGCAGTAACGCGGCGGCGTACCCTCAGCTTTTTGTCCCGCCATCTCGCTGTGTGCGCGTACACCGTATCTCGGCAAACCTTATCGTCATTTACATTATTTATGGGGAAATTGTCTCCGCTTTGCGCGTTTTTTCGCTTCACGCAGCACTTTTCAGGAACGCACCTACCATGTTGAACTTCTTTCGCACCGTACATAGCTAACAGTGCTACGAAGGCAAAGACAAAGATTCCCGGCCCCCGCCCCCCAGCATGTAGCCATCCAGACTGTTGGGTTAAATGCTATTCCACACGCACGCACAGACAGCACTCAGGCTCAAGATGCAATCGGTGTAAAGCCAAAGCCTGCGCCATTTGCTGGGCAGCTTTAAATAGTTCGTTAGGTTCACTGAAAGAACACGGCGCTCACCGAAGAAGGACCACTTTCACTTTGGACGGCGTGCCTTTGATGATGGCCGACGCGTTCTGGTGGCTTCTGCCATGCAAGATCTGCCCGTTAATCTGTAACGAGACGAACAAAATGACGAGCAAAATTGAGCGGCGCAAGGTTTGTTGTCGCTCGCCAGCGAGCTGAACGCGGGCGCTCGATGGGGGTTAAGAGGATAATTCTGATGTGTTTGGCGTGACGTTTGGGTGCCGACAGAAATCACTTGCCAACGGGAAATGTAAATATTATGAATTGAAAAGTAGCCCTGTAATGGTGCTTATGATGGGTAATGGGTTCCATTAGTGCTGTACACGTTGCGACTGCCAAGTGGCTGTGATGGAACGTCAAAAGTATCCACGCACGTATAAAATAAAGACTACAGTGTTTTAGTTTAATATTAGTCTCCATCTCGGTGTCTGTTTCACTTCGCACGCAATAGTAGATCGATGGAATTTGGCTGTTTAGATAACAGCATGACCGCTTGTATTTTTAGAGTGGTCCTTGTTTTATCCAAAAGCTAATGCCGTGAACATTTTTTTTTTGCAAATCTAAAGGCCCTGCAAGAAATGTGAATATTTGTGACAACAATAATATCGTGATTTTTGTACGACTAATGGCAGTGGCGAGTGATGTCCATCACCATTCTTTGGGCACTTCCCACCCACCCAGATGCCACACTGGCCGGTGTGAATCCGGCGTCAGTGATGATTTAGAAAAAAAAAACCTCAACGATCAATAAGGTGTGGGGGCAGGCGTTCTTCCAGCAGTGGCATTGCAAAGTGCCGTCAATTCCTATTACAGTAAAACCTTGGATTGCGAGCATAATTCGTTCCAGAAACGTATTTGTAATACAAAGCACTCGTAAATCAAAGCACTCGTATGTCAGTTGTGATCACGTGACGCTCGGCAGACAAAGCGTATACGTACTACTCGAATTGCAAGACCTCGCTTGTTTATCAAATTAATATTTATTTAAAAATTTTGCTCGTCTTGCAAAACACTCGCAGACCAAGTTACTCGCAATCTTCTGAATGCGACTAATTTCACTTTCAGTACAATGACCATACGAACGACCCGGGTGGAACAACCTGCATAAATTACGGGGTACATTCTTGAAGCACTGCTGTGAATGTCACTTGGTAATTATGTCGAAGTGGAATTACAAAATACGCCACGACGCCACAAAAACACGTTGCTTGCCAGGACAGAACATTGCTCCGCAAAAGCCGACGAAGCACTCAATCCGCACGGCAAATGCACCCAAAACGGAAACCCACGTCAAGGGGTGGCCAAGAGAACCGTGGAGGCTCCTCCGTCGACCGCTTCAGAGCGGCGACCGCCTACCGCTGCTGCGCGCGCCTCTCCCACGAGTGGGACGTAAAAGACGACGACCCCCCGACCCCTACCCGCCCCACCTTCTCACGGCGCGGTTACCGTGGCCACCCGAAACCGCACGACGGGCGACGTCGCGAAGAGCCGCGTCGTTTCCGCTGCGCCCGCTCACCAGCGGGCTGGACGGCGTGAGCCGCCTTACTAGGGGGGCGCCACGGTGGCGAGATGTTAACTCCCTCGCCTGGTATGCAGGAGGTCGTGGATGCGATCCCCGACCCTGACGCCTGTACATTTGGAGTTTGCGTGTCTCTCTCCCCGTGGTCGCGTGGATTTTTCTCCGGGTCCTCCAGTTTTAACCTCCACATTTAGATACATGCGTTAGGAGTATTTGGCTGCTATAAATGTCCACGTGAAAACCCACTTTATTGGGCTATCAATTGTGACCAGGTTGCTTCCAAGAAAAGAGCTACACAGCTCACTGGATCTTATCTGGTAATTTTTTTTTTCCCGAAGCTATCATCACACGGCTCGCAAACCCAACCCCGGGTGTACACTTTACACAAACTTACCCTGTGCTAGAAGATCATCAGTGGGTTGCCCCGACAGAACCAGCAAGAGGTACGTATCAGAGGAGAGGCCACTTGGGGGGTGGGGGTGCAGAAAGTGCAGACTGGGGCACCGCAGACGCGTTTTGATTGCTCGTGGGAGGATGCGAAAGCCTCGCACGCGTAAGTGCGCGGCGTGCGCTCGCCCTCAAGCGGCCCCGTGAGCAGAATTCCTCCTCTCCACCCCTCCACCCTCAACCTTCCATCCGATACTCTCCTGACGCTCTCCTGCTCATCATGGGACTTGCCGTGTAAATGTACGGGTCATACAGTCAACCCATTTTCCGGATGAGTTTCTTGATGGGCTATAAAGTGCCCTGATAGTGGCATTTTCTTGGTGCTGTTCGCCTTTGGGCATTCTCTGGTCTAACACTTTGAGACTAAATTTCGATTTTAAGCTTTCGTGACTGCAGGGATTCATATTCTTACTCTTTGGTTCTATTCGGTAAAGTCACGTAAAAGTATGGATCCTTGCAGTCACGAAAGCTTCAAATCTAGAATTCATATTCTTGGTTCTTTCGGTAAAGTCACGTAGAAAGGAAACAATAAAATAAAAAAAATAAAAAATTCTCACGATGTTTCGACTGCAACACAAGCAATCATCATCATTAGGTGTGAAAACCACGGCAAGAAAATTTGAAAAAAAGTGGCTCAAAAGAGAGCCGTCTCTGGTGTGGACCAATCCGTGTCAAAGACAATGTCATATACTACCAGAGCATATTTTTTGTTTGCATCTTCACCACAAGTATTTGTGGTTAATGCAGACATGATACCTTGCAAAAAGGCTTCTGTTTGGTGTTTTAACATGTTAACGCCTGTCTTATTGCCAGAAACGGTAAAACCTACTCTTCATACTCTCCTGCTCGCTGCGCTCCCCTGCTGTTCTTCCGTGTAAATGTACGGGCTATGCAGTCAACACGATGCCGGATGAGGGCCTCGTAATGCTACATGGGTCCTGGGAGGGGGCGTGGTTTGTATGACCAAACCTCACCGGGCTGCTCAGTGTGGATTGGTGAATTCCGGCAGTACTGTAGAGGTGGGAGAACAGAAGTACAGCGCAACAATGTAGGGATATGCTGGTCTACAGTCTTCTGCCCACCACATAGCCTGCGACTACCTGTCGTGCACGGTGGTCACCCATCCAAGCATTATCCAGGCTCAACTGCGCCTATTTTCGGAGGTCTGATTAGATCGGGAGAAATCTGGCCGATTTTGTCAAATGCATTCCGCAAGTGAGTTCCCCCGCTAATCTGGGAAAGCCTCGCTGATTTGAAAAATAATCCGGTTTAGTGCGACTGGTTTGAAGAAAGCGTACGTATATATATGAGAAAAGAGCTCAAATTATTTATTTCTGTCAATGTTGCAAAGTGTAACCCCGAATACCTCGCCGAGGTATTTATAATTTCTTCAAAATATTTGAGTCAAAATGGTTGCGTCTAACCGATTAATATTGTCGCGCAAAAAAAGCTCTATTGGACTTCTAGACCATTTTTGCGGATGGTACTACCAGCGTTTAATTACATCCTGTATACACTCCCACTACGTTCATTCATTCATTCTGGTCGTGTCCATGAAATAAACTTCGTCAGATCAACGAGTGTTCTTCCAGCAACGGTACCTGAGTGATCATCGGCTGGGCACGGCTCCTCTAGCAGACGACACCGGAGCAGAGGAGCGAGCAAGCATCGTGCGCTCTACACAGGAGAGGCAGATCGTGTTCCGGGCCTGAAGAAGCCACAACCCTGGCTCTGGCTACGAGTCACGTGCCTACTCCTGTCTGCCAGAGACCCGGAATGTGTTCAGTGAGAATTTAAACCTCGGGTACTATGTTGGGAAATTAGACCCGTTTTATTTTGTCATTCCTTCAGATATTGGGAAGCCCACTGGATCTATGCACTTTTAAATGTATATGGAGAACTTATTCATTTAGAACTGCTCTTTGTGGTTAGTTTGTTGTCCTTCCCCCGCACCTCTGACTCGCATGGTTGGCTACGTACAGTCCGAAAAGACACGTAACATACATAAGAAACGAAAGTGCTTGGAGGAACTCCACGTAGACTGGTGGAGAACACTAACAAGAGAAGTGTGCTCAATTCAATCAATAATTGGCCTACATACAGTGAGGTAAAAAAGTATTTGATCCCCTGCTGATTTTGTACGTTTGCCCACTGACAAAGAAATGATCAGTCTATAATTTCAATTGTAGGTTTATTTGAACAGTGAGAGACAGAATAACAAAACAATCCAGAAAAACGCATGTCAAAAATTGTATAAATTGATTTGCATTTTAATGAGGGAAATAAATATTTGACCCCTCTGCAAAACATGACTTAGTACTTGGTGGCAAAACCCTTGTTGGCAATCACAGAGGTCAGACGTTTCTTGTAGTTGGCCACCAGGTTTGCACACATCTCAGGAGGGATTTTGTCCCACTCCTCTTTGCAGATCTTCTCCAAGTCATTAAGGTTTCGAGGCTGACGTTTGGCAACTCGAACCTTCAGCTCCCTCCACAGATTTTCTATGAGATTAAGGTCTGGAGACTGGCTAGGCCACTCCAGGACCTTAATGTGCTTCTTCTTGAGACACTCCTTTGTTGACTTGGCCGTGTGTTTTGGGTATTTGTCATGCTGGAATACCCATCCACGACCCATTTTCAATGCCCTGGCTGAGGGAAGGAGGTTCTCACCCAAGATTTGACGGTACATGGCCCCGTCCATCGACCCTTTGATGCGGTGAAGTTGTCCTGTCCCCTTAGCAGAAAAACACCCCCAAAGCATAATGTTTCCACCTCCATGTTTGACGGTGGGGATGGTGTTCTTGGGGTCATAAGGCAGCATTCCTCCTCCTCCAAACACGGCGAGTTCAGTTGATGCTAAAGAGCTCCATTTTGGTCTCATCTGACCACAACACTTTCACCCAGTTGTCCTCTGAATCATTCTGATGTTCATTGGCAAACTTCAGACGGGCATGTGTATGTGCTTTCTTGAGCAGGGGGACCTTGCGGGCGCTGCAGGATTTCAGTCCTTCACGGCGTAGTGTGTTACCAATTGTTTTCTTGGTGACTATGGTCCCAGCTGCCTTGAGATCATTGACAAGATCCTCCCGTGTAGTTCTGGGCTGATTCCTCACCGTTCTCATGATCATTGCAACTCCACGAGGTGAGATCTTGCATGGAGCCCCAGGCTGATGGAGATTGACAGTTCTTTTGTGTGTCTTCCATTTGCGAATAATCGCACCAACTGTTGTCACCTTCTCACCAAGCTGCTTGGCAATGGTCTTGTAGCCCATTCCAGCCTTGTGTAGGTTTATAATCTTGTCCCTGACATTCTTGGAGAGCTCATTGGTCTTGGCCAAGGTGCAGAGTTTGGAATCTGATTGATTGATTGCTTCTGTGGACAGGTGTCTTTTATACAGGTAACAAGCTGAGATTAGGAGCACTCCCTTTAAGAGTGTGCTCCTAATCTCAGCTCGTTACCTGTATAAAGTGTGCTCCTAATCTCAGCTCGTTACCTGTATAAAAAACACCTGGGAGCCAGAAATCTTTCTGATTGAGAGGGGGCCAAATACTTACTTCCCTCATTAAAATGCAAATCAATTGATAACATTTTTGACATGCATTTTTCTGGATTTTCTTGTAGTTATTCTGTCTCTCACTGTTCAAATAATCCTACCATTAAAATTATAGACTGCTCATTTATTTGTCAGTGGGCAAACGTACAAAATCAGCAGGGGACCAAATAAGTTTTTTTCCTTCACTATACATGTGCACTTATACAATTGTCCTGGGTTTATAAATGTACGGCACTAACATTATTTGCGATATGTGGGGGGTTGGGGGGAGTTCGGCATGTATATGTTGAACGTCTTTCGTACCGTAACACAAGCCAACCGTACTAATCTGAGGTGCGATGGAAAGACAACAAACTAAACACAAAAAGCAGTTCTAAATGAATAAGTTCTCCATCTACATTTAAAAGTGCACATACTCTAGCGGGCTTCCGAATATCGGATGGAAGAACGTTCCAGACGGCCGCGGAAGCGAATCCAAACGCGCTCAACATGGCGACCGGCGAGGTATCGCAGTTCCTTCGCGGCAAGCGCCGTCCACGCGCAACGAGCGTGACATCGCAACGCACGTCCGTTCGGCAAACGTGGGGAAGCCGACGCGCCTCGGCGAGCGGCGGACAGACGGCACGGCGCGACACGGATCGCACCTCCAGCAGCTCGTCCCCGATCTGGATCTGTCCGTCGTGGGCCGCCGCGCCGTCCGGGTGGACGCCCACGACGAAGACGCTCATGCGCGAGCGATCCTTGTTGCCCGCGAGGCTGAGGCCCAGGCCCCCGCCGCCGCGGCCCTTCTCCAGCTCCAGGGACAGCAGCTCGCCCGGCAGGTGGCCGTAGCGCTGCCGCAGCTTGTCTGTGGAGACAAAGGTCAAAGGTGAGTCCACCCCGTCCCCCCCCCCGTAGAGGCTTAGCAGACGTTTGGGGCAAGTGCCGTTAACGCGAGACACTGCGAAGGCCGGCGCAGGACGCGAAGGGGTGAGTGACCAGCACCGTCATCTGGCCTCCCCGAGCGGCGACATTGACACGTGCGCCACGCACACACGAAGCCCGAGGTAGGCCCGCCTGTGTAAGAGCAAATTTGCTGGGAGCGAGCGCCTGTATGTATTTACGTTGAACTTCTTCCGCACCGTACGTAGCCAACCGTGCTAATCAGAGGGGGGCGAGGCATAGGTATAGTGCATGGAGACTGTCGGGCAAAGTGCTGTTAGCGATGACCTATGAAGGCCGGCACGGCGCATGATGGGTGGTGTGGCCGAAACCGCCACCTGGCCAACCTTTGTTTTTGTCTCTCCAGTGCTCATGTTTAAACTCGGCATGAGGTACTCATTTAAGGCTGAGTCGACCTAGGGGATGCCCAGGACTGTTTCGGACATAATTCTCCACTGATGTCAGTCATGGCCAGGAACCGAACTCGGGGTCGCAGGGATCACGGTGCGTTGCGTTCATTAATTCATGTGTGCGCACAATGAAAAGGCTACACTAGCACGGCAGGGACAGGTGCTGTTAGCAAAGGCCTATCTCGGCCAGCGACTATGCTGCACCCGTTTAAGTCTGAATCTATACACGGGCGCCACAGGAGAACCAGAATAAGCCAGGCGGGTGGTTGTGATGCTTGCGTAGCTCGCCTGACTGCACACAAAGAGAAGAGTGTGCCCCTATGTCACTCTCTTCAGCACTGGAGACTGTAATGGTCGTTGCTGCATTTTGCCGCCCCTGTGCGATGTCAGTGCTTGCTCATGAAACACAAACGAGCGGGTGGTGTGGCCAGGGTCAGGTGCAAATAAAGATTTCCCGTATAGCATTGACCGACTTTTGGGGCAAGTGCTGTTAGCGAGCATCTATGAAGGCCGGCACGTCACACGAGAGGGTGGGTTGCCAACACCGCGCCCGACTGGCCTTGTCTCCCCAGATACTCATTTAAGGCTGAGTTAACCTAGGAAAGGCCCAGGACAAGAAAAGCCAAGGGTGTTAAGATAATCGCCACCGGTGTTGGCCGTGAACGGGAATCGAACTCGGGTCGCCGGGTTTGTAGCGCAGCCACATTAACTTCTGCACTACCGCTCCACGCAATAACATGTGCAAACACATGCACAAAGAACACACACAAACACGCGATGACAACACACACGATGACAACACTCAAGACGGCAAATAACACAGCTGGGGACTGATTTCGGCCGGCACCGATGTAGTATTCATATAAAAAGCAGAGCTCTACAAAAGGGAGTCGCAAAACAGCAGCCTATAGTCAGGTAAATGTCCCGGCAAAGTGGGCCCCTGTGTCGTTCTGTTCACAATAATAACAGAAGTAGGGCACATTTGGTATTTGCGACATTATTATCGCGTGCGCGCAAGGCTATCGCCAAGGAATGCGGCAAGGTTTCACAGACACAGCCCGCAGAAGGTGGCAGACAATGTTGTTCGTGTGTACCGTTCTTTATTCTTTTGTACGTCTGATGTCAGATGCACAGCAACAACGACAATTTCACATTCAGGTGGTCAAGCACAGAAAACCGCATCAGGAGTAGCGGAGGAGTGTAGCGCCACGACAGGAAACTGCGTCGTTATACGGTCTGTTCTGGATGACCGGAACAGTTCAGTAATCCCAAGTGAGTACATTTTTTATGGTACGTTTCGAAGTTGAGCAAATTTGGACCACGACGCCGATACAACAATGGCCCACTCAGTTTCAAACGGCGTCAAAGGCGACCTTTAACGCCCACTGCGAAGCAGACTGCGTGTCTTTTGCGGTTAATCCACAAGTAGCGCGGTAATAACCGGGGCGGCATGCCGGGTTAAAAAACCGCAAACGTTCGGAACAAGCGACGGGTCGTGGCCACCAACTCTAGGTCGGCGTCTTTGCCACCGGTGGCATTTTGCACGCGAATAAAACTCTAGATCTCTGTTTTTGTCAGGTCAGAGGCTTTACCTCTAGATTTCTAGTCAGACCAGAGATTTTTACCTCTGGATATCCCGTGTGAGATCAGAGGTATTACCTCTAGATCTATCATGTCAAGTTAGAGGTTTTACCGGCAGAAATCTCTGCTTTTGTCAGGTCTCTCTGATTTTTGTGTGTTTAGTATGTTGCCCTTGCCCCCGCACCTCCGATTAGCACAGTTGGCTACACACGGTGCGAAAGAAGTTCAACATACACACATACATACATCCCAGCGTGACTGCAAATGTCAGTTCATCCGCGTACGTCTGGGACCATGGGATTTAAAGAGAAATGTCTCCATTTTTCTTGGGTCTTCCGGGAAAGTCACGTAGATAGGTTTAAAGAAAATAACAAAATAACATTATCGAGAAAGATGAACACATTACATACTATGCCCAGGAAAAAAAGCCACTTCACAATCATACTAATGATTACCTGCATCATTAAAGTGTCCAACATCTAAGTTGGACATAATGGAACCACACTTCTTCAGTTATTGTTTTCATACACAGTATTGATCGTGCATCTCAATCGCAAGGGACCTGTCAAACTAGGTTTGAACGCGATTATAAGGTTCATAAGAGGTTTTTTTTGTTTGTTTTGGGTTAAATCACGTAAATAAAGGTGTCGTAAAACCTGCCAGCACCCAACACAGCCAATTATTAAGGTTTGTCACGTAAACAAAACACGCCAAGTCGTTACTAGGACGGCACTAGAACAGCAACACCAGCCTCATCAGGCGACAGCCAGAGTTGTGGAGAAATCCTCCTGCTTCGGTCTTAAACAGAGGGATAAATGTGATGTCGTCACTTGTGAGCCAATCAGGTGCGAAGACCAGATGGAGGGGCGGAGTTACGTTGGGTGGTGGCGGGTTAAACGCGATCTCACCCAGAAACCCTCTATTACGGATTTTGGTCTCGAATGCCTCCCACGTGTTAAGGTGACTACCGAGCTGGGAAAACAAATACTACAACAACAATAACAACAAAAACCTCGATAAAGACAACAAGAAAATTAAATGAGCGTACGATTCCTTTCGCGGACTGGCAACGTAAAGGGCACGAGACCGCTGGCTGAGAAAGTGCAGTGAAAGCCGTCGCTCTCATTCACATTCAATACGCCATCAACAATCGGCTGTGATGCTAAGTCATCCATTCTTAATGCCTGCAAAGGGGAATCTTTTGTTGGAAGCAGCACTATTGCAAAACAGCGGTTGTTAATAAGCACTTTGCTGGGTGTTTGCAGCCCTTGTCGGCAGGGGCGGAGTGGGGGGTGCAGCCGGGGGGGGGGGGGGAGGGATACCCAATCAAAGATGTAAAGCTGAGATGTAAAGCCGAGATGTCACGTTGCCTACATGAAACGTTAAATAATAAACGTATCTAAAGCCTTCCAATCCAATGCCGCTGAACACATTTGATATGTGCGCCATTCGTTATTCAAAGGAAAGGTTATCACAGAGGCGCTGTGTGTCACAGATGGGTATAGTCTGCCAGTATGGGGCGATGTTGCTATGCGGTTTTACTCAATTATAGCTACTTTGCAGGTCAATTTTAAAATTTGCCAAACTCGGGCCATGACGCAGGAGCACACGTAGCTTCCTCTTCGATAAAATAAAGTCACGGGGAGGACATTTGACGTTCGTCGCGGATTGGACGTTGCGTGGATGTTTTTGGTGAAACCTCGGGTACTATGTTGGGAAATTAGTCGCGTGCCTACTCCTGTCTATGAGAGACCCGGAACGTGTTCATTGAGAATTTAAACCTTCGGTACCATGTTGGTAAATCAGACCCGTTTTCTGTTTTTCCTTCCTTCTGATGTTAGGAAGCCACTGGAGCTATGCACATTTAACATCTGAATTGAAAACTCATTTATTTAAGAAGTGCTCTTTGTGTTTGGCTTGTTGTCCTTCCCCCGCACTTCCGCTTCGCACGGTTGGCTACGTACAGTCCGGGGAGGACAGCATGGCCAGCAGTATTAAGTATTAAAACGGGGCGGTAGCGTCGCGTTCGAACTGCAAACCTCAGAAGCGAGCGGCAAACGGGGCTATTCCGCTCGGCAATTACATGGCCCCACACTCTCAACCGTTAATTCCCTTGCATCAATATTCAACTTGCGTTTTTGACAAATTAATTATTATACTATATATGGGTTGTTGTTGTTTTTTTTAAGCAGCTGATAAAAGCCCGTCGGGAACATTCATCCAAATAGAATTTGATGCCGCCGCGGAAAATCTTCTATCAAGGCCAAGAATCATTTCAGAGAGTGCAGAAAAAAATTCCCCCCCGCCCCCAACCCCCTTGTACGCGGTGGCGGCTCGTTATAATAATACTTGCCCAAACAGTATTCTCAGGCTACACGGTGGGTCTTTGTAGAGTATGTCAGAGATCGTGCGTCTCACCTGTTACCCCAAGAAAGTGATTATACAAATCCACACGCGCAAACCGAATGAATAATTCATGAAAAAAATCTATCGGAGCCTTTTAAAATATACACTTGAAAGCAAAACAACAACATGTTTTGATGATACCACAAAGAAACTGCAAGACAACAACGGGAACTGAATTCACAAGCCATCCCCCCCCCCCCTTTCCATCTGCATTTCACATTTCACTTGAGGTTGTAGTTGTAATAAAACTTGAATACTTTGGCTGCACCCCGTGTCGCGATTGCCAATTAGGTAATTGTGGCTTAGGGAAAACATCAGAACGCCCTTGGCTTTACGTGAAAATGAGGTGGCCGGGTGGCACAGAGGTCAGAGAGGGTGACCCAGGACTGCGGAGGACCTGGGTTCGATACCTGTGATTAAACCGGGTTCTCAAGTGCAGCGAGCTAATTGTCTCAGGACGTTCACCAATGACGACAACGCAAGACAACCCACCACATTCAATTTTATTCTGCACTCAATTTGGCGAAAT